AATCACAAAAATTTCGAAAATGAGTTTTTCTGTTTCTTGGATGTTATATGATATGTAGGTACATCACGAAAAACCATGTCATTCATTCCCGCCGGTAATCCTTGGTCCTTGTATAACTTTAGAAGTACCGCTGCAATTTTGATGAAATTTTCACACAAGGTTGCTTTATAGTTTTTGAAAATTCGTCCAGTGGCGGCAGAGAGAAAAAACTAAAAACAGAGGGATTAAAATTGCTCGAACTTCTCTTTTTGATGTTTCAGAGGTTCCCGAAATGTTTCTGATCTTAGTATATTTATACGCCTTATTTCACATCTTATACTTCTCCGTACATTTGCATTTAAAACTTAGAATGAAAGAGAAATGTTTCCGATCCGCGTGTTACTGCTATCTAAGCTCACCGCCTGGTGAAACGGTGCGGCTGATTAATCTATCCAAACTGCAGTGGAGTTGTGTAGGGAGTGTGCACCAAGATTTATTTGCTTGTACATATAACAGTGGTAAATAAAAATTCGGTTCAACGGCACTTTCACAGGCACAAGCACACCCACACACACAATTTTCTGACGGAAATATACGTATTCAGCGCCCCAAATTACCCAAGTGTACCCAACAATGGCAGACTAATTTTTTGTTGAGGTTTCTTATGAGATTTTGTTAAAAAACCTCTGCATATCTGTGACCTCAACTTTTTTCTAGCAGAAAGTAGAGCTGTCGTACCCTGGTCTGTAAGTTGGTCAAATATGCATACAACACAAAAAATATCAATAATAACGCTATGATTAGGAAGCAATGCTTCCAAAACACATTCGACCAAGAAGCGCCCAAGCGCCCTAGCGGTCAGCCAATTTCCATGGATGGCCGAGTTCTACCAAAGAGCCGTTCATTTTGGCTGGTCGGAGTGCAGATCACTGAGAACTTGATTTGGCTCGAACACGTCTCGTCAATCGCGACAGTTACTGGGAAAAAACTAAGCTGTTTGCTTAGGACTTAGGCCCGTATCGTCAGTCGTCCCTACAATTGTAGGGCGCGTTTATGGCCTCCTTGATTGTCATCCTCCTTTCTCTCCTTCAAAAATTTCTAGATTACACTTCTCCCGTGTCAGCGTCAGCGCTCTCCTATTGTAAAGATATGTTTTCTTTTTAAATTGTAGGAAATTTCAGGCTGATACAACATGATATAACTCAAAAGCAAGCACAATTTGATGCAAATAGATGTTTGTGACATAACCTCAAAATAGAGTTCTGACACGGAGAAGCAGAAAACTGTGACAATCAAGGAGGCCATAAAGGGCCCTACAATAATTGTAGGGACGACTGACGATACGGGCCTAAGACGTACCTACTTTTCACCACATAACCTTCTCTCTCAGCACAAAATCCAGATAAGACTTAACCTCGAATATTGCGCACATGTTTAAGATGCTGCCGCCCTAACATTATCCTTGCTTGATTTTGTCCGGCTAATCGATGACTCTTCTCTTAGTCTTAAGCCCCTTTCGCCCCGACGAACCGTCGGCGATCTGGCTCTCTTCTACCGCTATGTAAACAAACTTTCCATGATGGCGTGCGATGAGCCTGTCAGACTGACTCGGCAGACTTGGCTTTCCATCCTACACGTATGAACTTCGTACATCCAGAACTGGCCGATACGGCCGCTCCTTTGTCCGTAGGTTATCGAGATTGTGGAACAATCTCCCTGAGAGGGCTTTTCCCAGTTCTAGTAACCCTAGGCAGTTCCAACATCAAATTAACAAAGTGACCTAAAGTACTTTAGCAGTCGCGGGTCCCGCGGTATTTAGGCTTCAGCCTACGCGGCTGCTTCGGTATAAAGAAAAAGTATAATGATTGACTTGAATATACCTATTTAGAAAGATAGTAATAAAGAGGAGTGAGTAGTGTATTGGGAGAGCGATGTTTCTGAAGTGGTGGCTGTGCGTATCTGGCAACATGAAATACCAACCTAGATGAATTGTTACACAATGTCCGCGTCTGGTTTTACGTTTTACGATATTGTTGCATAAAGGCATGCCAACTGCCACGCGGCTAAAATAGAATCATTTCCTGCTATGCCTAGTATTCCATGTTAAATCATTACTACTATGTGAATTATTGTTTTATGCGTTAGATTTCTATAAATAGATAAATACTTTTGTTTTAGATGCATTTCAAATTCAGTAATTAGGCACCGCAAAAACAGTTTAAACTGTTAATCAAAATCGCCTTATTGTTGCTAACCAGCTGTATGAATGACGGAGATCTGGACACATTTAATCGACTAACGGATATAGACAAATCAAACAAACTCCAAGTATTAAAATAACATCTTAAACTTATCCTGAGGCTTTCGTGATGATAGAGCACACCATATTTCTACATTTCTACGAGCAAATGAAACCACATTATGCTTAAATTAATCATTTCGGATGTTTCGGCCACCACGGTGGCCTTTTTCAAAGATCAATGACAATGACAATATACCTACTTTATACTTATTTATCTTTCTTCCAGCACTTATTTACGTGTTCAACCTGGCCTGAACGATCTTATACAACACTGCCGAGACCGTGCTAATACATCATTGCAATTTTAATATGGTACCGCGCAAAACCAGCAAAGTCTTAATCTGCACCCGCATTACGTAAATACGTCAAGTAGGTTGATTTTGGACTTCTCACGCAACGCTGTGTCATCTGTTCATAAAGGATTATATTCGGCCCAAGTTCTGAGCTAGCTACAAACATATAGTATACCTATAACACAAAAATTCAATGGGCCAAGTTAGCCAAACTGGCCCATATAAATAAGTACATACCTACTCTGTAGTCTCCATCCATTTGAGAACGTTAACGCTAGAGTCTTCCCTGCCCTAATTATTGACCATCTGGCAACGCTGCTGGACCACACCAGTCAAACACGTAATACATGCCATCCAGAATACTATAGCATCTCAAGAGGATTCGGCGTATGAAAGTCGCCGTTGCATTGCATCACCCCTGACTGCGTGTTTCGTCTATAAAAGTGTCTTTAAGTTATCGGGCAAATTACAGGAGCTCCTCTTATTTGTTAAAGATGTCCGGATTTTTTTGGATTGCAGTGGCTTCTCTGTACAGTCTGACATGAAAAGAAGATGGTTGACTGTTATGCAATATTCGATTACTAATGGGGCATCTGCATTGTTCATGGAGCCGAAATGCGAGAAATAGTACTTAAATTTTTCAGAGGCGCCACAGTTTTTTTACATCCAGGTTTTCCTTATGGTTTGGTATTGGATCTCGAATGCGCAGACCTTTGGATTCGACACCTCAACGTCAAACTGTCAGCCCTTAAGGTGTCGAAGTACTATTTCGCATTTCAGATCCATGAGAAATGCAGATGCAGCATTAGTATTAAGAGTCAAAACTTGCACAAACAACGGATATCCTATTTCACGAGTATCTATCACGAGAGAATGACAACTGGTTATCTAGTAATAATTTCAAAATTCCCCATATCGGCAAAGGGCACATAATTCTGACGGATCCGTCAATGCCAGGTACACGAGCCATATTTTATTTTGGTTTTTTATACGCTACAGTTTTATTTTTTACCTACTTGCTAAAAGCTCTTTTATTTAGAAAAGTTCATTTGCATACAAAAAACAAAACGCTACAAACAAATGTTTGCTAGACTTACAGGCGATTCATTATAGCCAACGTTAGTGACTAACACAAAAATGTCACTTGCTGATCAGCTGTTCACCTCAGTAGAGGTCAAAGCGTGATGGATACTCGTGAATAGGATATACTACGTTCGTCTGTAGCTTATTTATCCAAGGAACGAGTTTCTGTGCAGATGACTGATACAGAGTGGTTTTTGAAAATATAATTTTTCATAGGAGTTTAAGCAGAGCAACGTTTCAGTTTATGTCTCTCGTTATTACAAGCAAATGAAGCATGCTACATTTGAGTAATTTGGGACGCTAAGCTCGAAGTACATCAAAGAATTATCTAAAATGCCTTAGGTAGGAAATGTTTCTCACTCAGCTTGATGTAATGATGTCATACTCGGAAATATATGCACCAGGAAAATGTATCCAGATTACAGATACACAATGGTTTTTGAGGATATCTGATACGAAACTTCATAATATAGGGTTTTGTGGGACAAAATTTTCATTTTCGTTTCCCGTTGTTACAATTTGGGGTGCCGAATTCCAATATGATCGTTAAAAATAGTGGAGTGTCAGATTCTGCAACTTTCACAGCCAATAAACACATTTTAGGCATTCTCGCAACTTGGCAATCATTGAAACCGTTGGGTGAATTTGCTAAAACCAAACGGAATGATGGTAGCGGCAACACCGCCTCGATCAATGACAACACAATAAGACTCGTCTTCTAATGTAGTAGACTTGTTGTATTGTGGCTGTTTTGACAGGTATGGTAAACGTCATGGAAATGGAATTTCCTAACCTTCTTGACACGTCATTTAATTAATCAACAACGTATTTTCAGAGGTTTTTTTTAGAAGAATTGGGCGATTCAAAAAAACCCGTCAGCCCTGGCTTTTTCTACGATGAGAAGAGCCCATGCAGGAAACTACTATGAACCTGTACCACAAAGCTCGAACGAAATCGAGGAAGAAAATGACCGTATGACCAACGACCTCAAAGAAAAGATAGGAGTCCTCAAATCTTTATCAATAGATATTGGAAACGAAGTCAAATATCAAGACAAACTCCTCAGAGACGTAGACGATGATTTGGACAGAACTGGAGGGTTTTTGGGGAACACAATGAACAGAGTCTTAAGATTGGGTAGGGGATCACACAACTATTACATTCTATATATGTTTTTGTTCAGCATATTCGTGTTTTTCATATTATATTTGGTGATAAAGTTTAGGTGAATGTGCTTAGGTTGTAAGGTGAAGATGCATTTTATTTAATCTAAATTGTTTGTTATAGGGCTTAAGTATTGTATATAATTATTTATATGTATTATTCCATAAATAAAACATACATTTTTATTTGGGTTCACTTTCTATTTGTGCAATGGTTCTGTAACACAGCATATTAAAACTCGTCTCTTTGAACATCTTCATTGCTGGAAAACAGGTTGAGAAGGGTGTACAAAACTGTTATAAGCCTCCATATTAGTGAAAAACAGTGTCATTAATTTCTGCAAACATTTTGTACCAGTATGACAAAGCCAAATTGTTGTACTTAGAAACTGCACATAGTTTTCAAAATAAAACATTTTGATATATAAATTCATTAATATCAAATATTAATGTAACTCCAAAATACACTTTTCAAACAGAATTCATTTTTGAAAGAACCAGTGACAAGGATTACCAGAAAACATATCTTAAAAACTCAAAAATTTATTAAACACATGTAAATACTACAATTTAAATTATAGAACACAATTTATATATTCAATTTGAAATTATTGAAATTTCTGTTGTCATAATCAGCTCCCTTGGACTTGGTGGAGACCATAGGATATCCAGGATCACCAGGGACACAATTTTGCCTGGATTCAATGACTCTCCAGCCTCCTTTCCGCATCCAGTCATTTCTGTTGTATTTGAAGTAATATGTTATATAATAGGCTGCTGCTATGCCCATCAGGATCTTGCCAGTCTTCCATCTGATTCCAATTGCCCTTTCCTCTCCTGCAAAAACAAAAACAATCTCAAACTTTTTTCAATATACTTTCAACACTTGTGTCGTTTTTTTTGTGAGGTGTTTGAAATGGTCAGAAAAATAGCCATAAAAACAGGTAACCATGAGTTACCACATAGTAATTAAAATGTCAGCAACCCTGATTACCTGCACAGAATAGAAGATATTCACAAATAAAGTATTTTAATTAATTCTCTATTTCTGAACACACATTGCTACTGACTTGTATGGTATTGTATTGTTAGGAACTATTAGTCCCAGTGTCATATTGTTGAGCTTTATAATTTATACAGATAAATTAGTTTTCAGCATTATTTAGATCTGTATTAATACAGTGACCATGCTATAAGTGTGCCCCTATGGTACAGAGCCACAATAAATATAAAGAGACAATACTGCCATACTTAGGTAAAAACTAGTAAAGTTAATTCACTGCGTTTTTTAAATTTGGATACCAATACATTTCTTTTAAGATGACAATTACAAAATAAAATATATAATTGATGTTTTAGTTGGCAAACATTATTTATTGCCCAATTTATCCAAAATTTCAAATTAAATTGCCTTAGCATAATATCAGTAGATTATCAAAGGAAAAAAGCAGTACTTTTCAAACTATGCTGTGTTTAATCTCTCTATATGATACAAATATGTAGTGCCTTTTTGCAACATATTATGACATTGGCTTATTTAGTTTTTAATGTAATAATTCTAATATTTGCAAATAAGTATTTAACATAATAAATAATTACTTTTGCTCTGAAAGAATACTTATGAAAAATATAATTTTTTTAATATATGAGAAAACATGCTGTTTTTGGTTTATTTATATCATTATTTTTGGTGAGTGTAATTATTAAATTGAATTATTAGATGTTGTAAAGATTTACTTTTGTGATATTTATGTGAATTTCAATATGATTATAAGATATTAAAATAAAATTGTACATTACTGCATGTTTCCTTTGAAATAATATTATGAATAGACTATGAAAACTACAAAAGAAAGACAGTAAATTTGTTTTTGTAGAGGATAAATGCAATAAGTCACATGTTACTGCTTTTTGATTTACAATTAAAAGCGGAATGTCATTTATTTTAGGCCCCAACAATAATTATGATCCAAAATCACATTTAAATGACTCTCTGTACTCATGCAACTTTCCAATATTTATTTACTTTTGTTGTGTCATAATAATAATTATTTTATTTTTATTTTATTAATTTTTAACTCAATTTCGTCAGACTTTGATTTTTACACTTTACTGCCTTTTACCTAAGTAGGGCAGAATAGATCTGGCATCAAAAAATCTTCATAAGAAAACAATATTACTTTTGACCCTACCTACAATCGGAGTCAATTTCTCGGCAAGCTTATCCAATGGCCATCTATAGAATCTCCTGATAGGATTGAATGTAGCCTTGTACATCTCCGGTACCTTTCGGGGTTCATTGGGAGACAATTCTTGGTCCTTTAGCCATTGTTTTCGGAAGGCCCTTTCCTCATCTGTCATACCCAATACACGCTCACGTTCACTTACATAGCGCCCGGCGATCGCCATGGGCTTTACGCCCCCCGTGTCTGATGCTTTCCCCATTTTTTAGGGCTGAAAATTTGTTAAAATTGGGAGTTTTGTTACGTAAGCAGAAACTGAGGTTAGGTTATAAAAGATTGACATTTGACAGACATATAACTGCACCGTAATTTTCATTACTCGTAGTGTACTCGAGTAATACTCGCAGTGACTAACAGCGTTGCTAGCTTGGTTAAATATTTCAGGCTCTGCAGATTTATTATACGAACAATATTGTTCCTCACTCTGTTTTGAACAACTCAAAAGAACGTACGTAACTTGTAATATATTTACTCCAGAATTTTTGGCTATCCGGTACTTCTTTAGAGTCCATTGAGCATTTTTTCGCTGTCGAATCTCATTTCTGTAAAATAGTTACTGATTTGTATCTCATATTAGTGATAGCAATTCGATAATAAAGGTTTTTCAATGTGATTGATAGAATGTGAAAGATAATTACAATAAAATTTTTAGCTTAGCTGGAGAAATTCCTTTATGAGCAAAATGATCCAGTAATTCAGGCATTGGTATACGAGTATAGCCTGCCAAAAGGGCGTACCCAAGATAGGCAAGGGGGGGACAGCCGCCCTTTTTCTTTTAGTTAGCTCGGTGGAAATTAAACGGAGATAATATTTTTTACAAAAATTAATTATTCAATCAGGGCTCACCGCAGGCTGAACAATATCTATTACATAACAAATTACTAGGATTAGTTGAAATATATGTTAGATATAAACTCAATTTTGCTAAAAGCGCTTTATACGTTACATGTGCTTCAAATTCGAACTTCGCCTTTGGAATTTTGGAAACGGTAAAACGAATCTCACATGACCAGTATTTACTGTGGTCCTTACCATATGTTGATGATTTCTGCGTAACATTATGTAATTATATCACATCTCATCACATAGTAAATACTGATTTTGTGATATTCGCTTAAACGACGCGGAGTACTTTATTGGGGCAAGTTGCTTGCGGCTTTATTTTTTCCTGGCTTTAGTCCAAAACAAATCTTTTCAAAAATCCACATTGTTTATAAATTTCAAACAAATTACACAATAAGTTTACCACGTTGTTTTTTATTCTACACGGTGGCATAATTAGAATTTAGATTTGATATTTCAACTTTGTTTTTTAAAAATACCGTTTTCGATGTTTTCGTTATTACCCTTAAATAATATAAATGAGTTACATTATGTTGTTGCTTATTCGATAAGCTTAAACAAACTTTATGAAGTTAGGCACTTTAAATTTTATCGTTGATATTCTATGCATAATGTCAAGGCTCTACTCAGGGAGTTTTCTTTTTATAAGAAAGTATGACATGCTATAAGTGGCATTTTAAATGTGCAGTTTATTTTAAAATCCTATCTCATATGAATTCATAAAAAAATAGAAATGATTTTGGGAAAATTCGTTCCCTTATCCGTGTATATCTAGAGGTACTGGAAGCGTTAAAACTGTCAAATGCATTTTATAAAATATATAAATACGCAACTTTGCCACCGTTCAACTGACCCCTATCTCTTAGCGTTTCGGAGACCATACTGGTGAGAGTATGACAATTTTGTCTTTCAAATCATTCGTGAACAAACTACGAGTAGGCGAGTAGGTATGTATCCGAATACATATTCTTTAAAACTATTTTTGGCTATATGTCATGTACTATGTACTGTCTCAAGTATTGCTCTCAAAATATTGCAAAAGATTAAAATATTGCTTAAAAATGTATCTCACACAATGTTTGCTTGATTGTTACAAAAAAGCAATCCCAGTAGTTTTCTATATCATTAATGAATTGTCAAATCGTCGTGGAAGAGTTTATATAAATGAAATGCAAATAGAAAGAAAGATAGATATAGCTGGGTATGCCCTTATGTAGCTTTTATGGTGACTCCATCTCTCTGGAGCACCACGGAACAACCCTCTTGATCAATGACGACACCCGTCGTCATTGCTATTAATATGGTACTATTAAACAACCTACAACCCCCGTCAGCAGTTCCGTGATAAACCACACCATCAACCCCAGGCGACAGGGACGTAAGCAATTTCAGCTTAATTTCTCGGCAAATTATATAAAAGCAAAGGATCAGCAAAATATGAACGTCGAACTCACCACGGACGCAGAAGTGGCTTGCGTTTCTATGAAACCTATGAAACGACCACCCTTCTGGCCCGAGAAGCCCGCCTTGTGGTTCGCCAAAGTAGAATGCCAGTTCTACATGAGTAGGATAACTAAAGATAATACCAAATTTACATACATAATTTCACATCTTGACGGGAAATATGCTGCGGAAGAAGGTGGGCGGTTCAATACACTAAATAAATACAAATCGAATTAAATATTTGTTAATGCAATGTGACGCTTGCCGTGATCAACACGGAACTGCTAACGGGGGTTGTAGTATTCGGTATCGCCGAAGGGACCAGCCGACACACGAAACGATTTTTTGTCTTATACTATTATACATAAATATTATGATTTGTTTAGATAGTTTCGGGAGTGTTATAATAATTTCGAAATATGTAAAGGCAAGAAATCAATTTGAAGGGTCGAAATTCAGCTTTGGAAAGGGAACTGCAAAAAGCTAGGAAATCTCTATTAGAATTAAAAAAAAATCAACTGGCATTGATGTGCGTGCATACCATTCACTGCGAGTATGCATTAATTAAACGGAATATCAAGACCGAGCTGTCAGTTGATAATGGCCACGACGTTGTCAAGCTTCTCATCAAATGTGTGTATTTTCGCCCAAAATATACCCACAGCCGACGTCAACTACGAGCCGTGATGAAAGAAAGGCAACACCGCGCTCGGACGGCATGGTAGTGCTACCTGTGAACGTCGGCCGGCTGCGGCTGTGTGCTCCGTCTCCGTGTAACGTTCAAGAACTAAATTTAATTTTGGAAAAGAGGACAGTTCGATTCAATACAAATCATCTGAATATGAAATAGCTCTAAAAAATTTAAAAATACGAAATAATCGTGATATATATGAGTCGCTAATGCAGTTAACCTAATTAAAAGTATTTAGTTTACGTTTTTCTTTGTCAGCACACTGTGTTCCAACAGGCCCAGCTTGGAAATGTGGAGTTACCTGTTTGTTTTTAATACATTTACTTTCAGTTTTACTGTTATTTTTCAATTTTACATAATCATTCAAAATTATGTTTAAAAAAAAAGACAAAAGCTTAGATAAAATATCTGCATAATTGCGGCCACAGATGCAAGTTAAAGAAAATTCACTGTAAATAAAGTCAGACTGAATGCTGAGCAAGGTTAACTGACAAAATAAATTTTTGATTATTGCTTTTCAAGAAGAAAATCTATCTACATTAATAATAGATTCAAAAATGGCATACATATGGTAGAATATGATTGGTACATAACTGGTTGGAATTGACAGTCCTCCTCTTTGCAAATAATCAAAATAAACATTTGTTGTTAATGAACCTTTTTCTTTAACTATTAGCGATTTGCATATCTCGCAGTTTAGGTTTTTAGAGATAGCGTGTGAAGCATATCCAGATATATAAGTCTTAGTGCTATCCTCTATGTCACAATTGGCTAAGTAATTTGTCTCAAATAATTCATTGAATATATCCAAAACTTCAGGATTTTGTTTGGTATCCAAGAAATCAAAATTTTCTTGAGTTTCTAAGCAGTTTTGGAACCTTGTTTTAATTTCTGCTAAAGAAAATGACGATTTCTTTTCATTGAAAATATGCTTCAGCCGTATTTTCTTTTCAGCATTTAAAATTTCATCATATGACACATTGTAATTGCAGCCACATAAAAGTCTATAATTGCCAAATCGTTTTTCTAAATTATCAGTGGTGAATTTTCCAGGCAATACATACTCAATGTCAAATTGATTAAATAAATATTCAATTATATTAAGTAGAGTCAGCGTGCTTTGATATAGAGCTGTATACATTTCTGGTGTCAGGTGTCCATTATTATTCTCTAGATTATGCCATTTTTCTAACCATATCAGGAATTTTTTAAAAAATTGTACTCTATAATCATATTTATTGGTAATAGGCTTACAAAATTCGTTTCGCTTCAATTCTCCTTTTATTACACTTGTATTACTGACAATATCCCACCAATTCCTGATTATTTCCAAAAAGTGTGCAGCATCATTAAACTTTAATTCCTTCATAGCAGCTATTGTTGAGTGATGGAATAAATTATCTACAAAATTTACATTTTGCCTTTCAAATGAATTTGGATGCAATGTTTTATAATTTAATTTATATGCTTTCTTAACTACAGCTTCTTTTTCCAATTGATATACAGCACGAATGTTTTCAAATTTAGCATACTGAATAATATCAGTATTGTCAAAATTAGGATATACAAAAGTTTTGTCTAGGTTTTTTAAATTAATCCAATTATTTCTGATTCTGAAAATATGCACAACATCATAAGTTAAATATATGTTCTTATCAGGATTATGTGGATTTGGAATAGAATAATTTTCTGATGAATCCTTTGCTAATTTCCTGAACATTGCTCTATTAATTCGGTGATTATCAGTAACAACACAAATAACTTCAAATCCACATTTTTGAACTAAATTTATCACATGTTCAACCAAAGGTGTCATTTCATCACCTGTTAGATTTGAAACTGTTAGTAATTTGATAATTTCTGTTATGTTTCCAAATGCTGAAGGCTAAAACAGTTTTAGCCATGTCATTTTTATTTGAAATTTGAAAAATACAACCAGAATTTGCACGTTTTCAATAGTTGAAATCCTTAGCGTCCTGAGGCGCGAACAGCCACAGTCACACTTCTTAGTTTATTTTTAAAGCACAGAAGCACTACAACTGGAGTCTATTTCTCATATATTATAGTCACCGATCACTTTGAACACATACACACACTTTGAAGTTTAGAAAACAAGCTTATCTCTTAATTACAGCCTCTGCGATTCCAAAATCACAAATTGAAAAGGTTATGTTTTCTCAGCGTTTTGAGCGGCGGGAGTAACACTACCACCTACGTTGCCAGATTTCTTTGTTCACGGCTCGTAGTTGACGTCGGCTGTGATATACCCAACCAACTTTAAAGATTCCAAGTTGCCCATCTCTATGCTGTCAGTCAGGACGTCAGGAGAAAAGTGTCAGTTCGTTGAAGAAATTGACGTGTACAAAAATGGATTTTAAGTTAAAAAATAATTAATACACCCAATTATTACCTACTAATTCGTAGGTTAATCAGCTCTGCGTGCATATTTATAAAGAGATTTATTAGCGGTAAGTTGCAAAAAATATTTTGTGAGTTCCAGTTTCATCCACCTAGTAGAAATCCCCAGTAATTTCCATCTATGTAGCGGAACACTAATGTTCTTATTTTCTTTTTGGGAGTTCTAATGAAATTATCATTCATTCCAGATAAATAAATAAATAAGCAATCAGATACGATGGAGGACGAGTTACTAGGCTCAGGAAGTAAGAAAAATGGATTTTCACAATTCTGCACTAGGGTTTCCCAGGTATTATTTCACAAATTACATACTGATAAAAAGCTATATTGTTGATATCTCATTACCTTGAGCACTTTATTTTGTTTCTATTTGAAGTTTTGGTACTGTACTGTAAAGATATGTATATATATACATATTTAGGTAAGATTAGTGACACAGCAGTTTCCGATCACAGAAATATAGCTGTTGAAATAGGTAGAAGTTCTGCTAGGTTGTAGTAATAGTTTAAGGTCAAAAATCTTAGAGATAAAACACAAGCAACTAATTCACATGGTATTAAAATAAAATAAATATTTAAAATCCAATATATGTATGCTCAAATAATTTTTAATAAAATGATACTAATATAAAAATCATATGATGCTAAAGACACCAGGTAGAACTTGTTAATTTTAAGCTGGGAGTCCCACTATATTTTTCCCATCTATTTTTCACATTTAACATGAATCTGACTCCCAATTTTGACTTTAGATTCCTGTTCAGTGGAAAAAAATAGTGGAACCCCCAGGACACACCTCTTTTTTTATTTTGAGAGCCAGTGTAATCTGGCAGTTGAAACAAGGATATGGGTCTATAAGAAACTAGAGAACTTAGAGGCTATTATTAATACTACAGTGGTTGAATGTAAAAAACATTATTTGTTATTTAGTTTTCATTTTCAAAGTCAAATTGAAAATCTTCATCACCACCACATGTAGAAAACTTCACAAAATTAAATAGTTATTATCATAACTACGAAACTAGAGGCAGTATAGGTTTTCATCTGTAAAATTCTAATATTAATATAAGTAGCAAATCTGTATTTCAAATGGGACTATTTGAATTGAATGAATTAAAACCAAACCAATCAAACAGTGTTTGAATTTAAAAATGTTTAGGGAGAAATTGAAAAGCACTTTATGAATACCCAAAATTCATAGTGATGTTATTTTAATAGACAGAACTTCAGAAAATTGATTAAAAAAATGTGTAAATGAATAATTATACAAAATTCACATTGTAGCATTAATGCTAAATAAATCTTCCAGAAACAAACAAAATAAATTATTCTCATATTAGAAGAAGAAGAGTATAGAATTGACTATACTGTGAACCAAGGTTGTTTATAGCTTAATACCAGGAATCTCAAACATTTCTCATTGCTAATTTGACTCATTCTATGAATCTGTAGCAAATCATAGATCCAGATTATTTGCTCTGATTTAGATGCTATATCACATTTCACTTGCCAAGTTGTAAGTTGTAATATAGAACTGTTTTTGTTAAGTTTGTATAATCTTATATAAAAATATCTATATTGAACAATATTTCATATAAAACAAAAGATATGTAAAATCAAATCATGTAACTAGTTACTTTTTTATACAGCTGTACTTCAAGGTAATTTTTTGAGAATGATTATATTTATTCATTCCATTATCATGCTACGCCATTGATGTTATACAAATTCAGTACAAGGACAGTATACAACCTATGCAAGAAAAAAGTTTCTCAAAAATGATATCACGAGTGAAATAAAGCAGTTTTTCAAAACTGACTATCTATTTAATTTTCGCCTTGACAAAAAGCCTCTAAATTTTTTCTTCTTCAATGTTTGAAGATCCACCAGAGCATGTTGGACAAGTGGACACCATATGCCCTACCAAGATGGTGTTTTGCAGGCTTCCTCATCATTTGTTTTGCTCTAAGAGTCATCTTATTGCAGGTAATAATACAAGTTTGTTCTGTTGTAGTGGTACCAAGGATTGGTGGACAGGACAGTACCATGGCAAAAATGCAGATGGTTTGCAGCAGTACTTTTATTGCTTGGCTTCATGGCCAGAATCTTATATGCGCAGGTACTCCTCCACCATTATCTCTGGGACTTAAGAAGTACACTGATGTTGTTGATGTGGAAATATCAATGTTGGAAAAAGTAGGACACACTGATATAATACCATGAAATTAATAAGCTAGTAATTTTGAGCGCACAGGAACAATAAGTCTTAAAAAATCATACTTCTTTTCCAGAAGACAATGTCATGCTTAAAATGGGGATAGGCCAAGTCATAATAGTTGTGAGAAAATTATAAAAAAGATCTTAGTCATGATCTGTTCAAATTATTGGCTTAAAAAAAATCGGACAAATCTACCCCCTGTGATGATCTTTTAGTTCCCATTACTACAAATTTTACAGTGTCATTCTACATAGTTACATCAAGACAGATACTAACGCCACTTTTATTAATTCATGATTGCGTAGTGCCACCATGTACATGTAGACCATACAAGAATATGCCAACATGTACCTCATTTATGGGGTATGTAGATGCAATACTAGTGCTGCAGTTAGGCTTTATTGGGAGAGGTACCCAAATGTTGCCTGCCATCCTGATCAACGAGTTTTTGTGAATGTGCACCATATACTCTCATTTGTAGTAATGGGAATTAAAAGATCATAACAGGGTGTAGATTTATCCGACTTTTTAGTAAGAAAAATACTCGAGTTAGATTTTTTTTATTTTTCTGATAACTATTGTGAGTTGGCCTTGGCCTATCTCCCATTACCGGCTTGATGATGACTTCTGGGACACCCTGTATATGAACTCTGAAACATTAAATTTAATAATCTCAGTGTACTGGAAAAATGCATTATAATGGTGGTCTGGTCTGATATGACTAAAATATATTGTATCACTATAATATTGAGCTAACCGTTCTTATAAATTGCATGAGGAGATTTTTGTTTGACATATGTCCAATACTAGGGAAAATTGGGAAAAGGGTGGTAACCATGTACTACAACAGTGAGTTCAGGAAAAGGCAATGGCACCAATTCATAAAAAAAGATGGTCCTAATTTTCCATAAATTGAGATATGTCATTTCATCTCATTCTTACATGAATCTGTACAAAAAAGTTATGCTGTCAAATGTTCTGCTTTCTGTTTTTCCCAAGAGCAGCATTGGCTTGGGGGGGTCTGTTGCTTATAGGGATAGATATTGGCAAGCTTGGTACCTCATTGTTGCTCGTTCCTTTCCACCACTTCTTCATTTTACTTTCATGTAGATAAAACTAGAATCCCTGTATACTGCAAATTGGTGTAAAATCATTCCAGTTCCACATTTCACCTCATTCTTGTAATGGTGAAGATGAGAATTCACATAGATATACAGAGAAATCCAAATATCTGTGACGTCTTAATGCGTACTAGAGAGAAGTGTGCAATACGTATGTTAGAAAGATTGCGCCGATGGCAATGCGGCAAGCCGCAGCTGCTTCCGTGGCCTCTTCCCTCGGGTTGCTAGGCAACGTGATGCTTCTATCTCTTTCTAATATACGTATTGCGCGCTTCTATCTCGTACACGTTATGACGTCAGTGGTATATGGATTTCTATGTATATAGATACGATAGATAATGGAAGTGTCTGGTCAAACTTTAAGGGATATAGAAAGGGCATAAAGTTGATAAGAAATTAACACAAATAGTCCATATAAAGATGAGTCCTAAAAAATCCTCTTCTTGAGATACAGGAAGTTGAAATTATAATTTCGAAATAAAACAAAGATATTTTTGAAGTAGCAGCCAGACTACACTAGTGGCGCAGAAATTGGGAAATTTTGACTCCTCAAGAAGAAAACATTTTCCACGCTACTGACATTTGAAATGTCTATTAAATTTCTTAAGTTTTACACGAATCACCTCTCGAGAAATTTTTTTAGACGATTCCTGTTGGAGAAAATTGGATTGAATACTTGAGATAAAATCAAAATGATTTCAACCCGTTCTGCTTTGAAAATAAGCTGAAGCTAGTGAAGTTTGACATTGCAAGTCGACTTTTTAGAACCTGTGCTTATAGGGACTTTTTTGTAATTTTTGGATGTACTTTCTGCCCTAGAAATATTGCCACAATTCTTTGAAGCACTCTTTACAAACATTAGTTCAAAAATGTTTAGTTTTCGAGATACATGGTTCCAAACTTGTTTCAAAATACTGGCTTTTCGTAAAAAAAGAAAACGATAATTATTCACTTATTCGGCCAGTTTTGTTGAAATACGTTGGATATTCCCATACAGGAGGTGTAACGCTGAAAATTAAAATTAATCGTATCGCAATTGCGCGTGAATAAAACTTGAATTCATGAAATAAGGGTGTTATTCTTAATTGCCTTTATTTGAATACAAATATATATATATATATATATATATATATATATATATATATATATATATATATATATTTATATTTATTTATTTGAATGACTAGCAATACATTAGTACTAGATAATAAGAAATTTTAAGGAATGTGCCTTATATTTTTAAGTTAAAATAAAGCTCCATACCCGGTAGCTTGGAAACAAAGAAGTATATAATATGTCTCAGAATCACCCAAGTGACCCATTGAAGTTTGGCCAGGTATTTACATATACACAGAGTGTAATATTATTGGCAGATCATCGGAAGTCAGATGATAGAGGGCCTCAATATCCACCGATTGAACCCCTATATGTAATGCGATATTTTATGGTCGAGGAGATATTTGCAATTTTGTGAAATTTTGAAAAAATGGATTATGAACTATCTAGTGTAAAACCGAAACTTCCATCTGAGGAGTATGATAGTAGTGTATCTCCAAGATAAAACAAACTCAGTATTTATCATTTAATATCAGTAGAAATAATAGCAGTTTATTATCAAATAAAAAAGTAAACTCTATATAATAATCAGTATGTATCAAATATTAATAACACTAAGGAAAAAAAAACTAAAACAGTACTACATGTATTTCTTTAAACTCGAAATAAATAATGTCTTTTGTTTCCAACATTTTGTAAAAAAGCATACAATGAAACTAAAATAACAACATATAGACTGTTGCACGAGTACCATTTAACGTTAGTTCATGACAAAAAACCTAGTTTGATTTGAAGATTTCTATTGCGCAAGTAGTTATTCCCCATTTAAAATTTTGTAAACTGTGTTCACCTTAAGTATCAATTTTTAGAGTTTACAGATCGTTTAATTCATTTTTTAATGGATTTTATTGACCAAGATGATATTTTAAAGATGATGTGGGTATCCTTGAACCAATAAATAGTTGTTTTCTAGAAGAATTATTCAAGACCAAAAACAAAAACTATTTCCAAGAGATTAGTAACTATGGCATTTTTTAGGAAATTTAGTTTGCTTCCTGAAATTGAGCCTGAACTGGAAGTCCTCAATCAATATTTGTGAGATGTCTATTATCTTAAATTACGTATAAAAAAAACCTAGATGTCTGTAGTCTGACAAAATTTAAATTCAATGCTTACAGGATATTACAGCGTAATCAAATGATCATAATTGAACAATCTGATATTATATGACATTAATAAAAATTGTTCAACATTTTCCCCTAGCAAATTTGACCTTTGGTCTGAATAAATTTGCCTTAGTTTTTCGAAAACATACGAACGTAGTTTTTTCTGCAAAAACAAAATCTCTGATTTTGGACGGAAACTGGCCGAAACCGAAAGTTTCTTTTGTTTATTGCATCACGACGAATGTGACATGAGGCACTTATCATAGCATGAGCATGGCTGATTCTAAAGGGGTTGCAATATAGTGCATAATAAAAAATAACCCTATGTTTTTGGCCACCCTCCAAAGTTCACGGATGGAAGAGATTTTTCACAAGAAAATTATTTGAAATTTTTTGCGTTGATTTTTATTAAGCTCTGTTACAAAATGATATAACCATTAGTAAGATCAAGCAGAAAAAAATCTCAGCCCTTGCGCTTGAAATTTATAATCCCATTTTTCCAAAATTTTACGATATTGCAAATATTTTGTAGACTATAAAATATCGGAGGGTCAATGGATAGCTATTGAGGTCCTCTACCTGACTTCCGTTGATTCACCTACAACATTACACCCTGTATATAAGAGGTGCATTGTATGTTTTGTTATAAATATAATAGATTCTATACAATCCCGGTAATAGCCAACAAAATTTTGTGTAGGGATTCAAGGTGCTGAACAATTCAGATAGAAAGTATCATCGATTTTAACTAGACATTTTTATTCTACTTTCTAGGGATGGTACATAATTACATATGCACTAGGGATATATCACTTGAACCTATTTATAGCTTTCCTTACTCCAAAAATTGATCCTGCTATGGACTTTGATGGTAAGTTCCAGTTTTACCATTGATTAATTCATTCTCTAAGGAGATGCTCAATAGTTCTCTTTATTTATTTGGACGATTTTTTAAGAAATTTGTTTTTAAAGTTTTCCAAGGAAAAGGTCACTCCTTAATTTCTCCATAATTATTCCTGAAATTTCTTGTTTATAGAATTTCCAAACAACAGAAAAGGAAATCCCATAACCTCCGACAACAGTCCTAGTGGTGACAGCTTTGACACCTGAAGTTGGCGGTCCACATATTTAATGTGCCATTCAAAAAGGTCCGTCCCTTACCCATTTTTTTGATAAAAGTGGCAGTTAAACATTCCAAGATGGCGACTAGGCGCTATTTTGAAACTTTTTGAACGGAATGGTTGGCCATGTGGTACCTTATTATGGAGGTCCTCGTGCTTTATAACTCTAGAATATAAAATCACCATCTTTGAAAATGGAGATCTGACAGGCTGTCAAAGTTGAGTATTTTAGTATACTAAGTGACATATAAATCCGAACACCCAGTTTAAATGGTTTTATTTTAATAAAAGTTGGTGAATGTATTTATCTTACTGTAAATAACAAGTGAAAAAATGTTCAGCCTTATCAGTTGGACATTCCGGTTTTTATACTGCTTTTTTTTAATTCACTAACGCTCTAAAAATGAATATTTCAGCCGCAGTAAAGAATCAACGTTGACGGATTTTGGTTCTTGACATCCTTTACGATCGGTTACGATGCCTAGAGTACGGAGACCTGTACGATTTCGTCAACTTAGTGAGTTTGATAGGGGCCGTATAGTGGGACTTCGGGAAGCTGGACTTTCTTTTCGGGCAATTGCAGTTAGAGTGCAAAGAAGTGTAGACACTGTGGTTAGGTGTTGTCAGGTATGGCTTCGAGAAGGCCGTACGCAAAGAGCAAGGGCTACTGGACGCCGCCGTAGAACAACAGACCGTGAAGATCGCCGCCTAAGATTATTGTCCTTAAGGGACCGTTTCTCCACTACCAGGTCCATTGCAAATGAATGGTTTGCAGAACACGGAAGACCTATTGGCATGCGAAGTGTTTACCGACGAATGAGAAGTTTTGGCTTGTTTTCATACCGGCCACACTGGGTCCTCCCTTTAACTCGAGAACACCGACGTAATCGCCTGTGGTGCAGACAACGGTCACTCTGGGATCAGGAATGGAACAGTATTGTCTTTAGTGACGAGTCTCGATTTTGTTTAGGCATGCACGATGGTCGTGCCAGGGTTAGAAGGCGACGTGGTGAAAGGAGGAATCCACAGTTTTTTGTTGAAAGACATGTTCATCACACTGTTGGAGTTATGGTTTGGGTTGCTATAGCTTATGGTTCCAGGTCACCTTTAATCTTCATCAGAGGTAACATGAACGCGCAGCGTTATATCCACGAAGTTCTAGAACCCCATCTTCTACCCTATCTTGACACCCTGGCAGATCCAACTTTCCAACAAGATAATGCCCGACCACATGTTGCAAGAGTCACAATAGACTTCTTTCAACATAATGATGTCACATTGTTACCATGGCCACCAAGATCTCCCGACTTATCCCCAATTGAGCACGTGTGGGATATGATGGGTAGGAGATTGCTCAATTTGCAACGTCCTCCTCAGACTCTAGAAGCACTTCGAGAGGAGTTGGTGGTTGCCTGGAATGAGATACCACATGAGGACATTGACCACCTGATCAGAAGCATGCCTAGGCGCGTTGGAGAATGCGTAGCACATCAGGGTGCATCCACACATTATTAAAGGTCAAAGGGCTTTAAAGCAGTGCAATCATTTTGAAATTTTTATCATTTACTTATTATGCTTCATTAAGTACTTATACAAAATTTTATTAAAATAAAACCATTTAAACTGGGTGTTCGGATTTATATGTCACTTAGTATACATTGAGTTGCTTATAACTCAACAACCAATCATAATGCGTAATATAGTATGTTATATCAGCTCCTTATCTTGGAAGGGTTTATCCAAATATATAATAAAATATGAAACAATCCATCCAAAAAATGACAATATTTGTTAATTTTTTTAAGCGCAATGTCTCATATTTTATTGCACATTCAGATAGATCCTTTGAAAAGGAATAGATTTATATAACTTTGACAGCTTCCCAGTCCGCCATTCCGAAAGATAGTGATTTTATGTTCTACCGTAATGAAGTCCTTTTACGGATCTTCAAAATAAGGTATCACACCACCTCTCATTCCATTAAAAAATACATTTAACTGTTCTTTTTACTTTAAAATATAGTATTCACGCATCAATTTCATAGTCCGAATTTGAGCTTGCTTACTTCACCCGTTCAAAAAATAAGCGGAGGGACCTTTCTGAAAACAACTGTATACTTATATAATCGAGTATTTTAATTAATGGTCAACGTAGTAGTTGCAGTGGTTTTTCAGTCTACCCAAAATATAACATTTTGTTTTGGATTGCTTTTCGTCTAATTTTGTTAAATCAAATATCAATATATGATTATTTGTAGCTGAAGATAACGGCCCCGAGTTACCAACAAGAGCAAACGAGGAATTTCGACCGTTCATACGCAGACTGCCAGAATTCAAATTCTGGTATTCAGTGACAAAAAGCACGATCATCGGATTGATATGCACGTTCTTTGATTGCTTCAACATCCCAGTATTCTGGCCTATTTTGGTCCTGTACTTCTTCACGTTGTTGTGTATCACGATGAAGAGGCAGATCAGGGTTAGTTAGGTTTTTTTAATAAAGAAACGAACTATAGGCGTTTTACACTGTTTTTGGCAGATTCATACCAATGTTATATGATATAAGTAAACAGATTGACGTACTATATCGTATGTGAGATTGACTTACTGTATCGTGTGTGGGGCTTTACTTTCAAATGGGAAATTGCACACTGTGCAAACCTATCCTCAACACATCATTTCGTATTTCGAGGTATTGCTATGTTTTATTTTATGAATATCAATAAAAGGTAAACTCAACCCGCACACCCATGGCAACTGGGTTGTCACATCGACAGTGAATAAACAAATATTACATTGGTGAGAAATTTTTTGAAACTGAAGAACGTATCTCTGTGAGCTTATACAATCGTCTGAGCACAGCGGCTTGTGTATGAAGTATGGTAGAAACATGATTATTGATTTTATGTTTACCAAAGTTGTATTTTGTCAAACATCAATATTATCTCCTTCCTTCAGAGTAGTTGCCTTGGAGGTGGAGACATTGTTTTCAGCCTTGGTAGCAGTGCTGGAAGTCTTCAACGGGTACGGCCTCCAGCAAGTCTGTTACTCTCTTTCAAATGTTTTCTGGAACCCCCAAATGACGTTCTTTAAGGACATTGTTCATTTTTGGAAAAACTCACATTCACTGAGATCTGGTTAATAGGGGGCCTGGCAAACCATAGGAATGCCTTTTGAGGTCAAAATACTGTAATCGACTTGACCTTGTGACATGAAGTGTTGTCTTGATGGATCATCCACTTGTTCGCAATGCCAGTTGTGAGGTTTTTCGGCAACGTTTTGGCAGAGATCTTTCTCAGTCAAAATTTGATAAACAGTAAAACTGTTCAAATGATCAGGACCTCGAAAGGAGGGTTTTCGGCCCTAAGGAATTTAGAGTTCCGACTTTATTACACTGTAAAGCCACTACAAACATAATACAATGCAAGTTTATTGAAGAAACTTAACACAGATATACTTAGTTGCTGTGCAACATGGCATATAGTTAGCCTCAGATTAAATGCTGTATTAATGTATAGTCAGTAAAAATGAAATTAAATTTGACTAGATGGATTCTTATTCATCCGTTTTTCGCTTTTTGAATAATGAGAAGCAGCAGAATCGCAAATATAGTCACTAAATCAACATTCTGTTTTTTTCTACTCTATATTAAGCGCGGACAATTTAATGTTTTGAAAATTCTTTCTATATCTAAAGTGATGGCAGCTTAGCTTGATTCACATGTTTCATTATTAGGCTTAAAATACAAACTAACATCCATATCTTCCGAAACAATATTCATATAAACCCCCATGTTTGTCTGGCTAATGAAAATAATGAAAAATGTACTACATTAAAGCAGAAAAAATAGGGACGGTAGGCGACGGGCAGATCTATAACATAGCAAAAAATGACCCAAGTCACTGTTTTTGAGATATACATTTTTTTGTCTTTTTCGAAAAATTTCCTCTTTCAATCTAGCTTTTGTTGCTGTGTCTAGAAATAACAGGATATATGTTTTTTTTGCAAAATATTCTCAGATAGTAGGTCTGCTATTTGAAATATCATTTATAAGGATAAATACAAGTAGGTAAACTTGACAAACTATTTTACTCAACTTTGGCATTCAGCAATGAAATAAAAATATACTAGACTGCTACCGCAAAGTACTACGATAAATTACCTGCTTAATCAGTACTTCAGAAAGGTAAAATAGTGCTACCGTTCTTAAAGAATTCAAAAAAAAACTAAAAAAATTCATGAAACGCTTACTAGGGTCACTTTTTGGTATGTTTTAGATATGCCTTTCACCTATGTTCCTCATTTTTTGACGTACTATTTACCGGTTTTATTGGCCAGACAGATATGGGGGATTATCAACATGAAAACCACAGAATATGTTTCAGATCTTAAATTAACGTCCATATATTCCATATTTTCTCAGCTAACTAGAACTGCTCCGTTGTTTCTCAATATTTTCCTTTTTTTTCTCTTATAAGCTTATACATAGGACTTGCAATTGTGGTTTTTATTATTCTTGAACAACAGCCACGGATATTGCTTTTTCATGTTTTCATTGAAACAATCATAAATAACTCTTAATTGTATAAAAGTTAACTTTTCGACGTAAGTATTAAGAATGTCACACGTATAAACCTGTGTCCTCCTAAGTTATTCTCATTAAATACAAAAGAGAGACACTACTCGCTCACCACAGCACACGGGCTAAATTTACTTGTATCGAGATAGATATGTATTTATTTGTTTCAATTTTAGTTTCCAATATGAGCGCTAAACCTTTAAAAAACCATACTCATATTTTACCGCAAGCTGAACCCGTTCCCTCTGTCTGATAATTTATTCTTTCATGTTTCAGCATATGATCAAATATAGGTATTTACCGTTCACGCACGGTAAGCCAAAGTACCAAGGACACGAAGAAGCGACGGGCAAGGTGATCGTCAGCCCCAAGTGACAGGTCATCAAGGGAGTGACGGACATCGGACTACATGTAGGCGCAGGCGGTACCTAAGTTACGGTACCGTCAACCGTACTAAATCGATCGTTTAAATGCAAAACACTTTTTTTTCATTCAAGGTTTCGAGCGTGGATGTAATTAAAGATATAAGAAATTTTATAGGGCAATTGGCAACCTGGTAAAATGGATGATGCGTTGACGGTCATAACAAACAGATGTTCACATCTGACAAGTGTTGGCAGAGTATCTTTAACGATACTTCATTACGTCAAATGTGACAGCAAATAACAGCTGCTAATCTAGTGACATCCAAAAAATAACAAGTGCAGATAGACGTCAACACGCAATGAAGCATAGTGAAAAAGCTTTTTTTGGGATTAAACATAACATCACTTTCGTCAGGTTGCCGCTTGTATACGAAATTGATATAAAATTTCATAACACACTCAGATAGGTATGATGCGCCACTGAAGTAACCCTCAGCGTTTCAGTTCCAGAGTAAGAAATCTCGTATCCTTGGGAGCAATTTTCCGATTCGATTTTTTTTCATTGTCACATTTTTGGACGCGTCTTAACATTGGCGGACGGTAAACTCATAGCAAATTTGCTTAAACAATTTTTTAAAGAAACATCAAAAGTTCTTTCGTTCTGAGTAAAGGTTTTTTAACCATTCTGTACAAAAATGGTTCTAAGAAACTTTTCTGTAAAGTTGATAATTTTCGAGTTATAAGCAACAAGACAAATAAGGTATTCTAGGAAATGTCCACATGACGTCACGTACCTCAGATGTACTGGTGAAACATAACCCTATATTTCATGTGTTTCGTGTTGGCGTCGTTCCTTCTGTGCGTTTGAATTTTTATTGACTTGCTTCGTGTATATTGTCGACATGCTTTAATTATTATCAGTACCTGAAAAATTTTAAGCTGTAGTGTTTGGCTGCACTCCTTTCTCACAACAAATCAAAACCCCTCGTTTATTTGTATAGTCCATATTTTTTTAGATAGATACTAATTTTTATTCAAAAACGCTAAAATAAGACTCAACAACTAAAATTTATTAGTTATTTCATACCTCACATGTACATCGATCTGGATATCACCTACAGGGTGGCCGATATGTAACTGACTGGTTTGTATCTTGAATATTTGTGAAATGAAATATTTTCTATCGCTTTCGTAATATTGTTCTTCAGCTGCTGTTCAGTATTTGGTTTGTTGGCATAAACCCTGTTTTTAAAAAATTCCCATAAAAAAAGTCAGCAGCCGTTAAATCCGTTGTCTTTGGTGGCCAGTTGAAAAGATTCATTGTTTCCCTAGCTTTGTGACAAGTTGCTCCGTCCTGCTGGAACCGCATATTTTGCCGGTTAAATTGTTGGATTTGAGGTGCCAGAAAGTTTTGCACCATATCACGGTAGCGCTCGCCAGTAACAGTAAGATAATTACCTGCAGCGTCTTAAAAGAAGTAAGGTCACCTCCATACCAAACACCGCACCAAACTGTGACTGGACGAGGATGTAGTGGTCGTTGATGGATGACACGAGGGTTCTAGAATGCCCAGATACAACAATTCTGCTTATTAACAAATCCGTTCATATCGAAGTGAGCGTCATCGCTCATTATCAGTTGTCGGTAAAAATCTTTATTTTGGGTATTAAGCTGCAATAATATTGCACCACTGTATTGTCGGCGACTTTCATGATCACCAGGCTGTAGTTCTTGGGTTAACTAAATTTTGCATGGCCGCAAATGCAAGTATTTTTTAAAATCGTGCATAATGACGTGTGACGAATACCCAGTTCTTAAGAACGATGTCTGGTAGACGTCTCAGGGCACTCCACTACATTTTCACGAACTCTCGATATTTTCCGGAGTATGAACAGTTCCAAGTTGGCAAGTCTTTAACTTCAACTGTTTGTTCACTTTTCCGCACCAACTGACAAATGGTGTTGACACTGGGCACATTATTTCGACCGAAATCTTGTCGTAGCTTCCGAATCGTTGCAACAATCGACTCATTATTGAAGTTTCAACAATACGGACGCGTTGTGGTATCGTGTAGCGCTCCATGATGAATTGGACACATGTGCTTTAAACAACTACTACGGCGCCACCTACTGAAATGCGTGTATCAAAAATGACGCGCAATTTAAGTCAGTCAGTTATATATTGGCCAACCTGAATAAGGAGGCTTCAAAAACTACTGTGCATTCGGTTTAAAATTACTAATCGTAATTCTGCTTACAACTCCAGATGATTTTGACTGCAAACGTTTTTGCCATGAATTGAATGCTACAATAACAGAAAGTGAAATAAAATGGTTTATAATATAATGGAGAATATGAATCTTATGTTCCTTTACTGAAACTCTGAGAGTGCTTTAATATTGACGATCTATTTCTGTATAGATTTACGGAGTCTTAAGTGTGAAGTGGCATGTCATTCTATGGCAATGTCAAGATCTTGGTGTGTAAGAAACAAATCGAATTATTGAGTTTTTAACACACGGTTGCCAAATTTTATAATGGTCCCTGTAAATTCATACAGATTTTAATAAGTAATAATAATAATTCTGAAGAATGATAAAGTATCAAATAAATATATCTGTAATTTTGTCCATCACACCCCTGAGACACACCAAAGGACCTAGTGCGCTTTTTATGTAAAACAAAATTATTTAATGTACATTTTGAATGAGTAGCCCTATACATGGTGAAAGCCCTAATATTTTTCACTCATCCACTTTTTTGTATAATCTTGTCATTATGGTATTTTTATTGTACAAAGTTAAACTTTATTGCAATTATAATTTCTTGTAAATTGTTTAATAAAACAAACTTTAAAAAATCTGATGTCTTATTTACCTTCTCATTTTTATTTTTCAGCCTACAAAGTAGTTACTGTTAATTGACTATAGACCCACCTTGGACCCACCCAAGACTGCACTAAAAATTACATTAGGTTCTCAGCTTTAGAATGACAAATGTAGTGGAAAATCTTAGGCTATAATATAAATAAGTCAGAGTTTTGAAAGACATGAAAAGTTCAAGTATCTATCATCTATCTACCCTCTAAAATTCAATACACTCTAGAGATTCGATAGTATCAGCTTTCAGAAACCTGAGATAGATGAATTTTGTCTTGAAGAACGGATGTTTTACTTTTTCGCGATAACGGAACCCTTTGGCACCGTCACCGTACAAATTTTCAAATATTACGAAAATTTGTGATAGCTATAGTGGTGAGACTGGTAATCAAGTGCCAAAATTTAAATAATGATTTGAACCTGGAACAACACGTTTTCACTATTACCGTTTCCCTACCATCAATTCAATCATTGTCTACCTACGATATTATTCTAGGTGAATAACTTTTGAAATCACCCTGTATATTTAATCTAAATTCTATTCACAGCCTGATGAATTTCCTATGCACTCAGATGACAGACAGCTGTGTACGTGAGCAATTCCGGCTCGGGTAGTGGTAGTTTCTTTGCAGGGTTGCCAAATTGCCTCCTTTATCACCTGCGGTTCGGATGTCGCACCAAAAGTTTGTGTTCGTTTAACATTTTTCTGAAATATTTAACTACGCAAAATAATTATCAGAAACTCGAAAAACGTATTTTGTGGACGTACCGAATTTTTGGTTTTTCACTGATGACTGTCGCCACTAAACCAATTTTCATAAACTTGTGTCAAAATTTTCTCAAAAACCGCATACAGTCAACAGACAGAAAAGACATATCGACGGTAATGAATGATTCTATTTTTCGAGATTTGCTTATATATATGACCATATATGCATATAACATTATACATCCAAAAAATGATATCTTGATTTCGAAATACGATTACAATATATTTTCTCGCTTTTGGCAACAGAGAGTCACCGAGTCAAGTAGGTTGACTCGGTATAAATTTTTTGCTTGTCGAGAATTAGTCAATATTCAATATCATGGTTTTTGCATGACGTGAACACATTCAAAAACAGTCATTAATTTCCGTCAGTGTGTAGGTCTGTCGTTTGTTAATCACTCGTTCCTCTTTAACTTGAGAAGTACTTCTCGGATTACGACTGGCTTAGGTTAAGTTACTTACCATGCCAGGAATAGACAAAAAAATGAAAACGTCCCCATTCTCTGGTTTTCGGTTAAACGTAAAAGTAGCCATTGGCTAATTTCGCCCTAATAGACCTCGTATTATCATTATTTCAGGGCAGAGTGAAGAAATTTTTCTAGATGGGTCAAAGGATTCCTAAAAACATCCTAAGCTTTGTTTTTGACGTTTTTCATTTTTGATCACTTTAGGGCGAAGTAAAAAATATTGTCGGTCCAAAATTTCGAAACATCTCGTATTTCACTTATCACCTCACACTAATAACAAATGGTTGGAAAGCCCTGAGTCAATCTGCTTGACTTTTTTTGTTTAATCACGCGTGAAGCAAAAGCAAATCAACTCCAACGTCCCATCATTTACGATTATCAAATCTGGGGTTGTTACGCCCTGTTTATATGGAAACAGTTAAGGAAATCTTAATTTTCAAACCGGCAACGCTGTACCGATTCAATAAAATCGTGTGCGACATTAGCGTGAAACGTGAAAAAACATCCCGTTATGTTGATATTGTGCATTTCAGTTCATTCTGAAGTTCTCTAGGCCCTTTTCCCGCAATGATTATATAAACCCACACTTCATAAGGTAAGATTTGTTCTTTTTACTTAAAATCTCACTTTTATCGTGAAGATCCGGGAGGCAAAATATCTCTTAAGGTGCGGTTTACGGCAATGTTCTTTCACTATATGGAATTAAAGTATTTCGCAATCAGATAAGCTGTATTTTCTCAACAAGTTTTTTGGCTGGGCATTAAAGGGGTTTTCTATGTAGGATATAGCACGTCATCAAGAATTTGTATGGCTTTATTGTTGTATATTTAGAATTTGTGCCAGATATTTTGCATGCCATTATAAAGCAGTGGCGTAACACTTTTCATTTACCTAACAAATATACGTGGCAGGACAATTCGTTTTTCGGCTACTAATAAAGTAGATAGTTTGCGAACGATTTCTTCATACACATGCACGCAAAGCAATATACAGTATGATATCTCGAGAAAAATATATGTTGTTGATAATTGACTGTTCTGCAAGTGACAATTAACTATAATTGCACTTTGCAAATGAATTGTCAGTTACAAGTTGTAACTAGCTATAATTCAGTTAAAAGTTGCAATTCGCTATAATGATAATCACAATTTGTCACTGAAAATTATAGATAATTTTTCTACTAACAACTGTAGCTAATTGGTTTGTGTCTCTCAATTATAGGTAATTGCGACTTGTTACTGACAAATTAGATAGATAAACAAGGCCTCAGTTTGGGATGTTCATGTTATAGTAATTCGTAAGAAAATGGAGACCCAATTTGCTCTGGATCCCTATGAGCAACAGCTGCTGAAAGTTTTTGATAGTCATGATCAAGATAGATGTGGTAGTTTAGACAGAGATGGACTGGCCCAGTTGTGCCAGACATTACAACTGGAAGAACACAGCCAAGACCTCATCAGGTAAATGAAAAAACCAGTAACAAGCATTTTTACACTTTCTTGCTGTAGAGCTGTAAAGGTTTCACATCCTTAGAAAATCTAAACATTGCAAACTTCACGACCAACCAAAGCATATACTTTTGAGTTGATTGTAGAGGCACGTTTTTCTGTACAACTACAACATGCAAAGTTGACTGATCAATTATTCTCTCTCTCATCTAGTATACAGTGTAAGAACTGCCGCCTTTGAGCTGTATTGGGCAAATTCTAGGCAGTAATATAGCAGTAATATTTTGGTACCTATTTTCAAGTTTTCTACAGGTTTTGAGCTGTATTAAGCAAATTCTAGGCCGTAATATAGCAGTAATATTTTTGTACCTATTTTCAAATTTTCTACAGGTGTCTCCTCAAGGATAACAAATATTCAAGAGCCTCATTCACAGAATTCAGAGATGCATTGTTAGCACTTCTTGGGAACATGCAGAACAACAAGAATCATGCAAATAATGGTACAACAGTAAAAGATGAGCAGATTATTAAGGAGCTAGAAAAGGGTTCACCTGAAAGAGAGGTCAGTATTAGCATTGATTAGCTCATTCTCCAAGAAGATGCCCAAATCATTTGTGTTGATACTTCCTTCGAAAGAAAATTATCTATTCTTAAAAACATCTACTTTTCAACAACAGAAAAGCAAATCCCATGAAATGTGGCACAATGGGCATACCCAGCTATCAAGATTAGTTGCAATCTGTAACATAGTTATCATCTTTGATATTTTATGATATAAATGACAACAGGAAAATTTCAAGGCTTGCTCAGGAAAATTTCGTTTTTTCAATAATACTATACAATATTAATGTATGACATGCTATAATATTTGAAATTATAATTCAAAACTATTCACATATCCAAAAATGGCATACATAAAAAAATCAAACATGGGGGGGATAAGAGGCGAAAAATCATATCAGCATTCTATTTATGCCACCTTGTAGAGGCCAAACAGTGGCAATGTTAATGTGCAGTTTATTTTGAAATCCTATCTCAAATAAATTCAGTAAATGTTAGAAACGATTTTGAGACATTCGAAGCTTCCAAACTTTTCAAATTAATTTTTTAAGGGACTTACCATCAGTCTTCCTACAAATGTATGACGCCTTTATGGCCTCATTGATTTTCATAGTTTTCTACTGTTCCGTGTCAGCGCTCTATTTTGAGGTTATGTCACATATATCTATTTACATCAAATTGTTCATGCTTTTGATTTATATCATTTGTTTCATCAGCCCGAAATTTCCTACAATTCAAAAAGAAAACATAACTTCACAATAGGGGAGCGCTGACGCTGACACGTACAGGTGAAATCTAGAAATACACATGAAGGTGCCCTACAATTGTAGGAATGACTGATGATATGGCGCAAAGGTCGGACGGTTTTTAAAAATCACAAAATTGGTAATTTTCACTCAAAAACAAATTTATTGACGGATTCGGGTACACAATGAAATAGCGTTTGTCACAATTAAGTGTGGATAATCACATCATCATCGTTCTCTCAACTTGGGCGACTTCCACGCGAGTTGCCTCCTTCAACTCATTTTTTTATACTCCAACTACCATGAAGGCCTAAGGCCTATACACCCATGGGGTACCGTGGGGCTATAGGGATACAGGGGACAGGGGGAACGCCACACGGACTCTGGCGAAGGAACACGTGTGCACGCAACATGCACATATTCTGGCCCCGCCCACAAGATCTGCCGGGTGGTACTTCTGCGTTCGATAGTCAGACACCGTCTGCCACCTACGGACAATCACAACATCCATAGCAAAAAGAAAAATTTATCTTGGGACGGGATTCGAACCCGCACAGCGCTCGGCGACTGATGTGGAGTGTGCTCGTATACACGAACTTTGAGGTGTCCCCATGGGAAAAAATCGCCTTATCGAAGTTCAGAAGCATGTTGCCGAGCAGATCGAGCCGGACTCCGAAGGAGGGCTTGTCGAACGCGTTCCACATTTTCAAGAGTTCGAACTGTTCGTGAAGCTCATGGTGGTCTTTTTTTGATCAGTACACCACGTGTGCGAAGTGATAGAACCTAAGGAAGGATGGTGTTTCGAGAAAGAACAGCTCGATTTCGGTTAATATTGAAGTGGCGACAAAACTCACGCTGTACAGCCGTGATAGACTCATTATGTCGGACAAAACTGTCACTCGCGAAAACGCGGTGCTCAACCGTCCACTGTTCCATAATGTCTACTGGTAAAAATGCTAGGAACGCCCGAGTCGAACGGTACTGTCTCCATCAGTCTCATCCGAATAGGCGGAGAGTACTAGCCATTTAAAAAACATCCGTCCTTTATGCCGGGCCCTGTATAATTAAGCAACTTTCAACCGACCCGTATCTCTTACCGTTTCGGAGATGACAATGGTGGAAATATGACAAATTTGTTTTTGAAATCACTCTAGGAGAAACTAGGTAAATATTGTTCTACATATTCCATAAAACTATTTTTGGCTATATAACGAAATTTCAAGTAATAGTGGAAAAACAACGATTAAATATCAACAATAGTTCTCATTTTGAAGGTCTATTCATCCCCTACAATATTCTTCTATAGACTTATAATATTGGTGTTGGATAAAAAAAAGCTAACTAGATTTTTTTACTCCAAGATGAGGGGTCTTTGCATTTACTCTAAAGAATATATAATTCCTTTGTTAAATCCTTCTATATAATTTCTTCTAGAGCAGGGTTCACTTTTGGCTAGTTAACCTGATCAAATAAGTATTGTGACATTTCTAGATAACATATTGTAACAGCAGTTTGTAACATAATGTGCTATAAAGCTTTTTTCTATAGGTCTCTCCAAAATACGTGTATGGCTCCAAAAAATATGGTCGCAGGTCCAGACCTAGAAATGACGATGTCGGCACGATTTTCAACGATCAAAACGAAGTTTCAAACAAAACGCCGGTGCAGAGATCCAACTCTCAGGTGAATACATATAAGGCTCTACCACAATTTATTGATTTCAAATACTTTGTAATACTGAATGACATTTTATATTCACTAGTACTAATTCAACATATCTGGGTGAATATATGGTGGTTTTCAGTGTCAACTAAACAAGACAGCTCATTTGGTTTTCATATTCATTATATCACAATATTATATGATACGAGATACATATTTAACAAGGTCAGATATTTTTTTGATTTTGACAGCATTTATAGGCATACAGGGAAAATGTGTCTCTAGGGAGTGACATTTAAACTATGAAAGAGATACTTTAATCATAATATAAATAACATTAGCTAAATATATTCAATCGTTATTTACTAAAAATAACAAGTGTTCAGTTCCATCAGTATTGAAACAAGGGAATCATGTAGATTGAGAGCTCAGAGACCCTCAGTGTTTTGTTTCGAAGCTAGAATTTTTTGATAGTGGGTTACAGCCATTGCTTTCATTAAATATAATATTAATTATTGTAAAGAAATGACAAAAAGTAAGAGTAGAAAGAGAAGAAAATTAGAAAATACTACTGATATTAAAATTGTCAGAGAAGTGACGCCAGGGTAGTGACAAAAACGTACATGACTTCGAAAAACATGAAGATACATTAAGATATTATTGTATGTGATTCGTGATATTTTACATAGTTATAGTAATGTCGCATTAAAATTCATCAAGATATACTGATCAGTATAAACACTGGACCACGTGGCACTGGCTACAGAGCAACTGACCCGTGACTGGTTTCAGTAGGCCAAATCGCGCAAATTTCAAACCAGCATTTCCTGATTTACTATGTATTGGTCAAGGTTAAATCGCGAAATTGTCACATTTACACAAAAATACGCAATTTGAATTGACAAAAATCGTTTTGCAGATCGAAGTTTCTTACAAAAAGCGAAAGACCAACTACAAGCTTCAACGATGCACTTCCTTACCGGCAAATAATGATCTCATGATAGATGCTGTTGACACTGGCTTTCCCAGCCAAGGGCTGAATCATCATGGGCAGCTGGTTTGTTCTGAGAAGATGCTCAGGGAAGCATGGAAGAATTTAGGTAAGGAAATATCGGATAAAGATATGAGTGCCGTTTGCGTATATTATATATTATTTTCGGGTCAACACATGTAGCGTAATCTCTCGATTGGTTCCGAAGTCATTGTTAAGATCCAGTAGTCGTTTTGTTATCCCTGAATGCAGACCATAATATCCACGAGGATTGTAGAACCTGCCAGTTGCGAAGTGCGGGCTTTAATTCGGTTTTTCTGCGCAAATAGATCTACAGCCGCCCAAATTCACTATTAGTTATGCCTAGTTTATGGACCTTCTTTTATGAATGGAAGAAAGTGAATGGTGTCGAAATGTCCACTGTTCAGACCGACGAACTCGTTCAACAAGTGTACCAAAAACTCCGATCTGATCGACGATTGAGAATTAGTAGTCTAGCACATAGATTTCCTCTTGATGAACACACCACCATATTCAATAGTGTCATAGAAAATCTCGGATATCACAAACTGTGTGTTACTTATAGCATCGAATTACTGCACGAAATTTGCAAAGGATATATTAGCACAATCACAGTGTAGCCAACCCTGAACATTTAGTGCATTTAATGATGTATCCAGAGGTCTCAATTACAGCTAAGCACTTCACACACGTCAGTCGTTCTTACAATTATTTTAGGACACCTTTATGACCTCCTTGATCTTCATAGTATTTTCTCTCCTCCAGAAAGGCCGTGGAATTTCTAGATGTGTACTGTTCCGTGTCAGCGTCAGAGTTCTTGTATTGTGAGGCTATGTTTTCTTTTTGAATTGCAGGGACTTTCAGGCTGATATAATAGATGCTATACTAAGTGACATATAAATCCGAACACCCAGTTTAAATGGTTTTATTTTAATAAAATTGTGTATAAGTACTTAATGAAGCATAATAAGCAAATGATAAAAATTTCAAAATGATTGCACTGCTTTAAAGCCCTTTGACCTTTAATAATGTGTGGATGCACCCTGATGTGCTACGCTTTCTCCAACGTGCCTAGGCATGCTTCTGAAAGGTGGTCAATGTTCTCCTGTGGTATCTCATTCCAGGCAACCACCAACTCCTCTCGAAGTGCTTCTAGAGTCTGAGGAGGACGTTGCAAATTGAGCAATCTCCTACCCATCATATCCCACACGTGCTCAATTGGGGTTAAGTCGGGAGATCTTGGTGGCCATGGTAACAGTGTGACATCATTATGTTGAAAGAAGTGTATTGTGACTCTTGCAACATGTGGTCGGGCATTATCTTGTTGGAAAGTTGGATCTGCCAGGGTGTCAAGATAGGGTAAAAGATGGGGTTCTAGAACTTCGTGGATATAACGCTGCGCGTTCATGTTACCTCTGATGAAGATTAAATGTGACCTGGAACCATAAGCTATAGCACCCCAAACCATAACTCCCAACAGTGTGATGAACATGTCTTTCAACAAAAAACTGTGGATTCCTCCTTTCACCACGTCACCTTCTAATCCTGGCACGACCATCGTGCATGCCTAAACAAAATCGAGACTCGTTACTAAAGACAATACTGTTCCATTCCTGATCCCAGAGTGACCGTTGTCTGCACCACTCAAGGCGATTACGTCGGTGTTCTCGAGTTAAAGGGAGGACCCAGTGTGGCCGGTATGAAAACAAGCCAAAACTTCTCATTCGTCGGTAAACACTTCGCATGCCAATAGGTCTTCCGTGTTCTGCAAACCATTCATTTGCAAATGGACTTAGTAGTGGAGAAACGGTCCCTTAAGGCCAATAATCTTAGGCGGCGATCTTCACGGTCTGTTGTTCTACGGCGGCGTCCAGTGCCCCTTGCTCTTTGCGTACGGCGTTCTCGAAACCATACCTGACAACACCTAACCACAGTGTCTACACTTCTTTGCACTCTAACTGCAATTGCCCTAAAAGAAAGTCCAGCTTCCCGAAGTTCCACTATACGGCCCCTATCAAACTCACTAAGTTGACGAAATCGTACAGGTCTCCGTACTCTAGGCATCGTAACCGATCGTAAAGGATGTCAAGAACCAAAATCCGCCAACGTTGATTCTTTACTGCAGGCTGTAATATTCATTTTTAGAGCGTTAGTGAATTAAAAAAAAGCAGTATAAAAACCGGAATGTCCAACTGATAAGGCTGAAAATTTTTCCACTTGTTATTTACAGTAAGATAAATACATTCACCAACTTTTATTAAAATAAAAACATTTAAACTGGGTGTTCGGATTTATATGTCACTTAGATATAAACCAAAAGCATGAACAATTTGATGCAAATAGATATTTGTAACATAACCTCAAAATAGAGCGCTGACACGGCACAGTAGAAAATTATGAAAATAAAGGAGTCCATAAAGTCGTCCTACACTTGTAGGAACGACTGACGGTGCGACCCTGAATGGATCATGCTCGTCAAACAGCTTCATACAATTAGTCCATAATCCCCCCAGATTTGAAAACATTGCGATCTATACCCTATTTCACGAGTATCCATCACTCTTTGACGTCTACTGCGGTTAACAACTTATCAGCAAGTGACATTTTTGTGTTAGTCTGCCAGCACTCGTAAATCCAGCACGGCGTTGCATACATGGATACGCACATCATCGCTCAGTTATCCCTCAGTATTCGAAGCAGACCGTCTCTCTGTTAGTTGGGTTGACTGGCACGCATTCTAGCCAGACAAGCATTACCGTTATTGCAGTACAACACGGCTGATGGAAGCGGCCCCACTGACGGTTTTTTCCCGCGACTGATTTCAAAACCCCGACTTGTTACAGAATGGCTAGCTGGAGAAAACCGCGCCAAAATAGAAATAGAACCGCGTGCGGTTCTGTCATTCTTCGGAACACCGTCATGAAGAACCAGATATGCATGTCATCATGGGCATTACCAATATTATGTACATCCATTGCATCATGGAAGCGCTTAATCCCCATGTTTTGCCATGAGAGCGTTTGATCTGCAGGTTCCAGGTTAGTTTGGAGTCTAGAATTATCCCCAGGTATTTGACTTCCCCCGACAGTTGTAACTGGTTGTAACTGTTTTTACAGAAGGTATAGAGGTTCTAACCCCTCTGATTTCTTTCTTCTGGTGAAAGCAACTATGTCTTAGAGGGACTTTCTTGCTCTGGGGGCTATTTTTTCCTTTTTACAATGTCATACTTGGTTAATTAACCACAGAAGAAATGTAACAAGCTTTGTGATCCCCCTCTCAAAAAAGGCGTTAGAGTTGATAGAGAGGCCTGAACAAACTATTGATGAGCGCCATTCTCTGTCCGGAGTTCAATGCAAATCAAAGATACTTAAATCCCGTAGATGATTCCTGGACTTGACTTTAGACCAGGCCTCTCCAACTCAGCTGCCACCAGTGCAGCGCCGAGCACCGCTTGCATCAGAGTGCTGCGGGGTGATTCCGTGAAGGTGGGGGAGGGATTAGGCAGCGGCATACGCATCGCGAGGAAGATGTTGTGCTAACCGTAGCACCCTGCGAATAGAAATGACCCGGGAGCTGGTGGCATTGAGTATACTTTCGACTAAATTTAGTAATAATATGTAGTTTTTAAGTAAATGAACAAGAAGAGCTCAGCCAGAAGTACCTGTCATACTGACTTAAAGATACAGTGTGACAAAAGAATAGCACTGTGCTCACCGAATCCAATGAAGCCTACAAGGTTTGATGGAAATTTTAGGCTCATTTGCAAAAACATGGTATAACAAACTGATTTCCGCCAGAAGTTTCTGTCATACCGACTGAAAGCTATAGCAGGTAATGTAAATAGATCAAAATAATACATCCTGTTTGTATGATTCATGCTTGCAGTTAAAATCTCATTTGAGTCTGTCAGTTTGACACCAGAGTTCTAGATGTTTGAAAGTATATGTTATGGTAAAATCCTACTATCACGTTGTATCTTCAAGTCGATATGACAGGTACTTTAATCTTATACTAAGCCCTTTTTGTTCATTTACTTAAAAACTACATATTATTACTAAGTTTAGTAAAATCCACGATAAGGTTTAATTTCGCCGGTTCCCAGTCCCAACGGAAAACGAGTGGAGTGACATTCGTATTGATATTTGAATTGGTCTGATCGAGTCAACGCGCGGGTGATAAAATAATGTTCATAATTTCGACGTAAACACATTTATTCTTAAGATGGTTTTTGACAGCGTTTCGATTCAACAAGTTTCCAAGATTTGGTACAGTGGCTTGAGCAGTGGAAATTCTGAGTATCGCCTCTAAGGACACATCAGACAAAGACCTGTTTTTAGTTTTGTTCAAATTCATTATAGAAAACATCTGCTCGTAGAAGTACATTGTACCGAACATGGAGCAAGTTTCCAAGGCCAGTGCAAGAATTTTGGGAAAATCTTGCTGCTTAACACCTTGATAAAACAAAATTAAATTCCTATTGTAGTGGTAGTATCTATCCTTAAGGATCGTATCGCATTGAAGCTTAATCAGCTCCATTTGGAACTGCGGCGGTTCTGTTTTGACAAGCACTGAAGATAACATCGTAAAAATCTCAATTTCATAAACATCTCAACGTCGTCGATGATTTCAAAAAAAAAATCTTTAGCACTTTTGCGCAGCTTAACCAGCGGGTAACACAATAAAAGGGTATGTCACCGTAAGTTGCTTCCAGGTCTTTTAAAAATACTTCAAACTGCCGTGGTTGAGACCTAGCTTTCTGCAGAAATTGACACATGTTACTACTACATCCATAATAGTTTTGAAATTACGGAAGGTTTTTGCACATAGTTGTTCCTGATGTAATATGCAGTGTACCGATGATATCGGAGGTAGCCCAGCGTCGCGTACTTTTATTTTTATTCGCCCAGTAAATTCTAGTGCTTCCGATAACATTGCTGGCACTCCATCAGTAACGACACTACGCAAACTTTTGAGTAGTATACCCATGTCATTCATTGTATATTCTACAGCATCAAATATCTTCTTTGGCCATTGTATCTTTGAGCGGGATAACGTCTAGTAGTTAGTCGGTGATAGTAAAGACTATTTCGACACCTCTAACGAAAACAGCTAGTTATGCTGTGTCAGAAATGTCTTCACTTTTATCGAGAGCTATAGAATACTGCACAAAATGGGCATATTTTCCCGCAGTTATTCTTTTAAATCTGCACCAAGTTCAAGTATCCGACGAGAAATTGTTTGCTCGGACATACTAATTGTCTCAAAGTTGCTTACAGGAGATGGGCACAATATTTCTACACACTCCACTAAGCATTCTTTGACAAGTGCACCGTCAGTAAACGGTCTCCCACTTTTTGCGATTTTCAAAGCAACAATATAACTTGCATTACAACACCATCAATAATAATCAACTACGACCAAATTAATAATTACCTCTTCAGAACTTAGAAGGGCTGGCCTCAATACCGTGTGACAAATTAAACATGCTTTTCCATCAGTATTTACAAAAAAATATACTTCTTCCATGCAGGATTGAATGACATCGTTTAGAATATGCACGTTAAGACGCCAAACAACCTGTCCAATTTGTCTTGTCCTATTAAGAAATGGCCCGCGCCCGAGAGACAGTCGGCTAATCTGTTTCTCTCTGTAGCGACGGCTGTGCGGTCGAGGTGGAGGGGGAACGGCACCGGTGTCGCTGGGTTCAGCACCGGAGCGCACCAGCACCAAGTGCTCGAGTTGGAGAGGCCTGCTTTAAACGGTCCACTTACCAACTACCGGCTTATCCAAGAGATGCCCAGTGGTACTGACTTTGAGTGGTTGACATGGGGAACACTGAACCATATTAGAACAGACATAGCTCCAGTAAAAGTTAACCAAATAATAAGAATAAAAAATTAATTGAAAATGGGGGGTAAGGGTCGAGGGTTGCTAGATACGTTTAATCTGAACGAAAATATGAGTTCATTCACAGGAGGCGGATCCAGTGGCACATTTTGAGGTGGGGGGACTTCTGAGAACGAATCTTCTTGTGATCGTGTGACGATGGAAAAACGGGGACAGGGGGTTACCGACTACTGAAAGTTGAAGAACGGGAGGACAAGAATTTTCTGCGTATTTACCTTTCGCCATTACTCGTACATCTAGCAACACAGTGTCAACAGTGTGTTAGGATGGAATGTCGTTGATATAAACGCCATTGTGCATAGAACTTTCCGTTCCGATAGTAGTTGAAACATTTCTCAGGATGTTTTCTTAAATCCTGATACTATTTATGAAAGAGACCTTTGTTAAATCTTCGGATAGTCAGTGGATGGACCCAATATTTTCTCTTGATGACGTTTTCTTTTTCTGCATCTTAGTATTAGAGCAACACATGAAATCCATCTTCAAACTGAAAATCGTGCCCAGTTTCGCGATTTTTAACCATAGAGTGTGTGTGTCTTGGGCGGTTTTGCGGTTTGGTGGTTTACCGCTTGCGGGAAAAAAACGTAGTGCGGCCTAAGCCTTAAATATAGTCAGTATGTTGCCAAAAAACAAGTTGAAGACATTATTTTTTTCTGGGTGTAACACTTCTAATGTCACTCAGTATATTTCTGCCGCGTCACCGCATAGTGTTTCATATGCACTGCCACGTCAAACCAAGTTTTTTTATCGGGGATGCACTAACGGTAGGGCAGAGAAATAATGTCTATGGACTAAGTGTATCGACCTGTTTTACTGATTTTTTTCTCAGAGGGTCTAGTCTGTGTTGAACATCATCCTTTATGAACTGATAACGGTGATGCGTGAGAAGGGTAGAGTCAACCTACCTGACGCCATTTGTTTTTGGATTATAAGAGCAAGAACATTTCCAATCAAGTCTCCTTTTCAAGTCAGAAAAAAGGGTGTGTTTGGGAGCTACGACTCTACAAACAATAATTACGCAGATACATGTGACATGAAAAACTTGTAAAACCTTCCTTTTTATGTCAAAGGCTGAAAATAGTTTGATGATGACGCGATCAATATTTCATCTGTTATATCCCCTTTCACCTTAATTAGTTTTTTTTCGCTTACCAGGTGTTGGTGACGACGGCTTTCTAAACCAGGAAGAACTAGTGTTGGTTTGCGATGCCATAGGGCTTCACAAACTAGCGGAAGGTGTGATTCGGCAACTGTCGGACAAGTTGTCCTTAGATTACAACCATAGGATCAGTTTTCAAGAGTTGTTGGAGGTGTTGCAGCAAGATGACACATGGTATGAGGTTCTCAATCCAAACGTTACCACACAACAGGAGGCTGTTACTCACAGGTAGGTATTGATTTTAAGGGTTCATTTAAAGAATTTTTTGTTCTTCAAATGCTTGTCTATGTTTAAACGTTTTGTTTTGAGTTTTAAGAACTACGAAAATAAAAAGTTAACGTTAGTTCGAATTTACCTCTTCTTCTGAAATCCATACTAATATTATAAATGAAAATGTGTGGTTGTTATTTAATCACGACACAATGGCTGAACCGATCTGGATCAAAATTTGGTACACACATAGATAGAAGTCTGGCATAGCACATAGGCTACTTTTTATCCCGGGAAATATCTATTTCACGGACAACAGCCTAAATGGCTTAATAGAATTTTACATGGGGTGTCTCGCATAGAAGCGCTGTCGCTGGTTCTATCGAAAAGAGCAAGAGTATATGAATAGAGCATTTGCATCGTGCATTTGCTGCATATTATTATAAATGCGAAAGTACAGGGTGACTTTGAAGTTGAGTCATTAATTTTCAGATAATGATTGTAGAAGGAAGATAAACCAAAATATGTGTGTAAAAATAAAAAAAAATGTTTACCTTGTTTTATAAAGTATCCTCCCGACAAGTATTTCAGTGCGGACCTGTATTTGATCGTGAGGTCTCCTGTGAGGTCTTAAGTCACTTGATTCACGAGCCCGTTGTACTACATTAACAGAGGCACGAGGGGTTGGTTGCACACGATTGGGAAACCGATCCGCATAAACATGTGCCATTTTTTATTTCGTTTGAGCCACGCAACAGACACTATTCACACGCCTTACCGACTGACATTGACTGTATGTATAACTGAACTGAAGAAAATAATTGTAAAACATCGTTCCAAATTCTTTCGCTTTTTTGTTTCCGATGCGATGAACCGAGGCGGATTATATCCGTTGTTGCCAAACACGAGCACATGATATTACGAGTATTATTGAACAGGGCGGTACGCAAACTTCCAAAGGGCTATAACTTTGTTACTTTAAATTTACCAGAAAAATGGTAAAGGAAAAAAACATTTCTTTTGATCAGATCTACTCACTGTTAAAATAAATGACTCAACTTCGAAGTCACCCTGTATATTTGTATGTACTGTAGCGTTTTTCTGGGTTCTTTTGGGTGTGGATTAGAACACTGGATTCCACAAAAAGAATTGCACTAATTTATTTAACTTTATAGAACATTTATGTACATCACTATTTATGTCGGACTAATTCTTATGTCGCCATTGACTGCACTATACTCCACTCCGCTCTGCTACTCTACCGTATTCAGTACTCTGCTTCAATCTCCCGGCCGCCGAGTTATATATAGTCCCCATTGCTGCTTCGAGAAAGGTCTGGTGAACCACAAAGCGGCATCTAGAACATTGGAGGTCACTTCGCGACGATCCAGAAGGTGAGTCGCTGCCACGGTCCTCACAGACGCCGCCAAGCGGCTTGTGCGGTCGTGGTTCGCGTAAAAGCAGAGATCGCGCCATGAAGATCTGGCGAGTAGGAGGCTCGCCCAACAGATGGCGCCAACAGTACTATTTGTCACAGTACGTATGTTCTGCTTTCACGCCAAAACGGCTAAACCGAATTGGATCAACTGGTGAATCATGGATATAGATTAGACCTTAACGATGGTCATAGGTTACATTTTGTTGGGAAAATAGAACTTGCGGTTGAAATAGGAGGTGAAAGTTGCTTTAGGAAAACTGTTATTCTTCTAGAGATATAAATATGAGTTTTGTATGTCTGGTTCTATGATATAAAGGAAATAGGAACTTGCAAAGAGATTTTGGATATTCCACTCCTAATGGGTGAAGTAGGTGTTATTACCCGTGAGGCTGAAGAACCTAGAATTTTTCAAATTAGGCCAGCCAGGAGTATGTTTTATTTATAATTAAAGATATTAATAAAGAATTCCAGAAATTATATCCTTATGATGAAGTAGGAAGTAGTTGAATATCTCTATGGGCATTTACAAGTTTGTACGAAAATCTTTTGTTTTTATACTGGAGACAGGTAGGGAGGTAGTTTATAGACAGTAGATGTCAGTTAGAACGGATTTTGCCATAGGGCGGATTATGGGGGTTAAAGGGTACTCGCGAGTTTGTTTGAAAATCCTGCTAGATACCTAAAGCTGGCAATACTCTAAAGATAGAGTAGACTTGAAGTGAGAATGGATTTTGTTTTGAGTTCAAAGGATGTCACAATTTTGTATATACAGGGTGTCCGCAAAGTTGGGGTTTTCCTTTACACGACGTGTAGATCTTGAAAACATAAGCAATTTTTCTTAGTACCATATACACCAATGTCTTAAGGGAACCGAGGATAAAGGGCTCTGCAACATCAAAAATATCTGAATACCGTCCTGTAGCCGCGACATCCCCCAGTGGTACTAGGACACTAGCTCAACCCGACGACAGAACTGGGTCGGGGTCAGTGTGTCAGGTCAGTATGCAACCTTCAACCGACGGTTACGGACACGCGTGTAGAGATAATCGCGTAGACGTGAATCCCTCAACAAGCACTAGAGACGTGGCTAGAGAAGTGCAAGTATCAAAAACTAAAGTGTGGCAAACGCTGCGTGAAGAGGGGTTGTATCCGTTTCACGTCCAACGTGTACAAGCCCTTCAACCTGACGATTTTCCAGCAAGAGTGCGGTTTTGTGAGTGGTTGTTGCATCAACATGACAATAATCCGGACTTTTTGAAGTGCATATTGGTGACAGACGAATCTACGTTCACGCGTAATGGGGTGAATAACTTTCGCAACACTCATGTTTGGTCAGTAGAAAATCCGCACGCTGTCCGTCGGGCACATTTTCAACAAACATTTTCGGTGAATGTTTGGGCTGGTATGGTGAACGGTTTGCTCATTGGACCATTTATTCTCCCAAATCGATTGGACGGGATGCAATACCTAGACTTTTTACGAAACATTTTGCCTTCCTTGTTTGCCTGCGTCTGCTCGGTAGCGCATCAGCTGATTTCATTTTCTGTTGGAGCGGTATGATTTCGGGCAAAGAAGTACTTAGCCCTTCTCGTCAACTGGAGAGTGAGTACTTTTTCCTTTATTTTTTTTTAGTTGGTCGCCCTCGTTTCATTACACATTACCGTTGTTATTTCAAGGGTAGTTGTTTCTGAAAAGGAAAACCCCAACTTTGCGGACACCCTGTATACACACACTGAGAACCAAATTTGTCTGACGGCTTGGGATCCATGTCTATGAGTGAAAAGTGTGTATAGACATATGTTATCTTAGAAAGGGATAGAAGCCGCCTGGATAGCGAAGCTCATCGCCGCGTTGCCAATATGTTACGTTCCTTGAATTAAGTTGCATATTGGAAATATGCGTTAGTTGATTTTTTACTCCCAAATAATGGTTTTATTTTGAGCGTACACATTTTTGAATTGTGAATTGTGTAGAATCTGTTTAGGATTGATTCCCGATCGGTCCTGATGGCGCTCCATTTTAGGTCGAAATGAAAGGTGAAGATAGCCACAAATTCTGCAAAATTACATTATTACCCATCTAGCGTTCGTAGAGGAGTGTCTTACTTTTTCACAATGGCTTTCACCTGCGCACATGCAGGCAGTGATAATTTGTATTACGTAACGTTATTTGTTACATTTTGCGTCAGCGCAATAACTGAGAATGTGTTGATTTTATCACCATCGGTGGAAATCAAAGATAATTTTGAAATAAATTAAAACACTAAGTAGCAATCTTGATTTGAAATAAAGAATTCTAACCAAAATGTTAAAACAACTGTTCGAACAGGCCTCCTTTGGGTTTGTCAGTAACCTAACTTATTGTAGCAGCCTGTACGAACATTTTCTGGTGTAACATATTGGCAACCTGCAGATTGCGCGACCTTCTTCGTCACCGTTACTAAGCAATGTGGTGATGACCTTCGCTCTTCAGCTGGCTTCTATCTCTGTCTAACATGTGTTGATACACAGTTCTCGCTCTTCTCTCTCGTACACAGTGAACTTAAGCCGTCAGACAAATTTGGTTTTCCCTGTATGATACGGTTATAAAAGAAATTTCTTCCCCCGAAATGTAGTTTTAGTTTCTAATAAATTTGATTACGCTTTCCCCATTTTAATGCGTTCGGGCTTATTGACAACTGTTTGTAACACATAGCTACGTGTTCCGTCGCTAATAACAAATATATACATATATTTAATTTGTTTCTAATGAGAAACTAGGCAGACATATTTTTAGAATGTAAAATTTGGTTTTATCCAATGCATTAATTTCACAATTCTAGTTACTATAACAATTTTACCGTTACAGTTTTCGGGTAAAAAAATACATATTTGTGTGCATGGTTATATGGCTATATTGAGGAAACAAGATACCAAAGAACATGATGTTAGTATACTAGTATTTATTTTTCTACGTGAAAACTAAATCGATGGGAAAAAATTCAAGATATTTATTCAGAAAAAAGGTTTTTTGTTACTAGGAAAAGCAGTGATGTACCATATCTTTCTTTAAATTTATTCAGCTTTTGAGCTACTGCACGAACGCTAGTGGAGGAAATATTAAAGCCGTCAAGTAGGTGGACTCTGTACTTCCTGCACAACGCCGTCATTAGTTCATAAAGGCTTAAGTTCAGCGCAATTTAAATCTTCTGAGAACAAAAGTCAAAAAGTACAACAGAGAAATTAAACGGAATATGTCAGTCAAATATGCCCATACAATCAGTCCATACACATTCGTTCTCTGCGCTACCGGTAGTTACTGTCCATATGGCAACATTGTCCCTTTCCACATCTGCACGGCAGCGCTTCATCGCTGCAGCGAGTTATCGTTCATTTCGTGCATGGTTCGTGTACGTGTATACGTTGTTGCGCAGCAGTGCGGATTTATTAGTAACCGGACCAGTTCGCCAGGCGGTGAGCTTATATAGCAGGGGTACGCAGATCGAAAACATTTCTATATAATTTATCAGTTTAAAAGGCCAATGTACGTGGACATCTATGTGTGAAATACGGGTAATAGGTGCATAGATTTACTGGTGTTGGGAGTGAATAAATAAAATGGGATCAACAAATTTTCATACACCTTCCCCGACCCCCTACAATCCCCAACCTACGAATTTCAACCCCTACAAACATTTTTCTGAAAATATCAGGACCATTTGAAACGTCAAAAAAGACGAGTTTTGAGAAATTGTTATTTTTTTTCGTGTTTGGCTTTTTTCTTCGCCGCCATTGGACCGATTTTTAAAACCTACAAAGCTTTTTCGTTCTTGGCGTAGTAGCAACCTTGTGTGAAAATTTCATCAAAACCCGAGCGGTACTTCTCAAGTTATAGACAGGCAAAGGATTAGCGGACAGACAGTCAGACCGACAGAAATGAGTGACATGTTTCTTCGTGATGTACATGTCATATAACATCTAAAAACACGTCTCATTTTCGAAGTTTTCCGCGATTACAATACCTCCTCCCCCAATGGCGAAGAAAGTAAAAGCACTATTGTGCATCAGAAAACCCCTCTTAATGCACGGTAGCGTACCAAACTTCATTAAAATATCCAGCACGGTATTACACATATAAACGCTTTATTTTTATTATATTTTTAATTACCAGGTCATCCACCGATAAGCTGTTCCCAGATTCTCAAACATTCCAGTTCGTAACTTTGGGACCAGACGGGAACGGTGTGATCAGCACGGATGTTCTGATAGAAATGTGGGAAAACGTCGGCATACATTCTCCAAAAGAGCTGCTCCATGAATTAGGTTTCAACGCTAGGACCATCAAGATTGCAGAATTGGCCGAGTTGCTTGATAAGCAGATCAAGAGTAAGTTTGGCAATGTTGTATAAAGTGGCGTGAGATTTTACTGATTTATTTTCAAAGCCTTTACAAACCTCAAAGTATGCGACACGTCACAGATCACTTTACGTATTTTGGGTTAGCTCAATAAAAAGAAGGAAATACTTTAGAACAGAATAGAATGAGTGTTTATTTACTTATTAGCAACAATAATAATTAACATGAACATCACAAAAATCACATATCTCTTGGATCTAAAATATAAAGTCCTTGCTTCAACAAAAATAGATTTTTCTGCTATTTTTTTATCTAAGTAGCTTGAGCAGTTTTTGCTCAAATACATCATGGTCATATAAAATATTTGGGATCTTTAATACTTCCTATGGATATTTACAATTACTGCAGATATACATTCCAGCTCTACATGCTTCCATCAAATGATTTTGACTGCAGTATGGAGAAACCACAACAGAATTGCACTTCTGAGTCCAATGTTCAAATCGCCAACATTAACATCAAAGAACAGTAAAAAATTCAGAATTCATGACTATACCATCCCACATATATGAACTGTTTTTTTATCTAACAAGTATTCATTTTCTTTATTAGACAGTTCATTATCACATGCTTGGTTTCCACTTTTACTACTTTTGTATGTATGAATTACTTTCATTACATGACCTCTGAATTCTTCAGGAATATTTTGCTTTTGAAATTCAGACAAATTCTTCTTCATCAGTCAATTCAGCCTTGCAAACATAATTTTTTTTTTCGGTTTAATTGCACTGCCAATTTTTATTTCATACTTTTCTCTTAATGATACTTCCGCTTTATTGTTGCTTGTATTTTATTGATATATATTCCTATGTCTGCAGGATTTAATTTTTGCATTAGAACATTTTTTGTTTCAGTGTTACTTTTGTTCTTGTCTGTTGGTTTAATAACCAATGGCTCTACTTTTTATCTTACGCCTGACTACAGCATATAATCTCTAGTATTTGATCAGTCTTATCAATTTATGCATATTGATTAAAATTGTAGAAAAAACACCATCTAATTGTTTCTTGATCTTATTTAGATTTTCCATATTTTTTCTTTTTGCTAGTTGTTTTGAACAATCAGGTCATGATTTTCTTCTACGTTGGAGTTTTCATTTACTAGTTTTCATTTACCATCTCTACGAGCTAGTAAAATATTCTTCTCTTTGAGTATTACTCTTAGATCTTCAATTTCTCTGTATAATTTGGCAGCTGTATCTTAATTATTTACATATTAGATCCTTGTGAACACTGATCCTCTTCAAAAGCTTGATCTTTATCATAATTTGTCTTTTTTTCGAGTTTTACGCATCTCGCAATGTCGTAATAGATCATGAAATTGACTGTTACGACCTATTTCCTGGCAGTGTCATATAATTTGCAAATAAGTAAAAATCTTATGGAGCGTTTCTTTACGGCCCCCTATTGATAGCGAAGTACGTTATTTTTAAATCTTCAATATCTTCATAATAATTTCGAACTATTTCCGTTGAAATATGTAGGTAACTGTAGAGCTTGAAGTGTAGATCGGTGGCCGAAACATAATACTCCGGAGTAAATACTTGTACCTACTTGTACCTCATATTATAAAGACTCGATATAGTAAATACACCCCTTTTCGCAATGTTGACCAGTCATTATTGTGGCGTTTACTACTCAATGAATTGGCCAATTTCATGGATATGCCAAAATAATTATTGGTAACGAAATCATGTTGGTTGTTAGGAATTCATGAGGTTGGTGAGTGTTTACTTCCCATATGCGGAGGAATAAGCTACTAAGAGTACTATCGAGCAGTTTTTTGAATTTGAGAGGTTCTGCAGGATGTTTGTACACGCCCATCTGATTAGCAAACAAAGTTCTCGTGCTATTTTTTCTATGATTACTGACAATCTTATGACATTTTAGAACAATCAATGTACTATTTTGTAATCCCTTCCAATTTCCTGATCATTTTAAAGCATACGCGAAAAGCAATTTTCTGGTTCGCAAATTTTGAAAAGTGTTGTTCTATCTAAATCATTTTCGTGAACAGGAAATTTTCAGAAATTCATATTGACTTATATATCCACTTCATTTTTGGGCTAATGCCTATAGTCAAAAGATGCTTTATGCATCTAGTTCGTTTCTGTGTCTTCGCACAAGTATTTTATTCACTCCAATTTAAAGAAATTTGCAAGCCCCTGAAAAGGTTTGGGTTTTCCAAATAAATACTACACAAATGTTATGATAAACTTTTTTAAATTATGCTTCTGAGCTACCTCCACGGGAGTCAATGGATGTTAAATCTTGTAATCCTGGTGATCATGCAACACCACCAAAGCAAATAATGGGGCCCCTTTCTTTGAAAATGCGAGAGGCTTATATGCCAAAACAATTGCCAAGAAAATCATGTTGATTGTTAGGAATTCCTGAGGTTGGAGAGTATTTACTCATCATGTACGAAGGAATAGAGTCTCACTATCGAGAAATTTGTTTGAATATGATAGGTTTTTGTAGGTTTTTTTGTACACTCCTATCTAATTAGCAAAAATTGAAAATACTCGTGTTATTTTTCCATGATTTTGTGTTTGCATAATTACAGACAATTTTATGACATTTTAGAATAGTCCTCAAACAATCAATGTAAACAATTTTTTAATACCTTTCAATTTTCTAATCATTTTGAGGCAAACGCGAAAAGTAGTTTTCTGGTTCGCAAACTTTGAAAAGTGCTGGTTCTGTGTAAATCATTTTCGTGAATAAACGTATCTTAGAAATTCAAATTGGTTTGTGTATCCACTTCGTTTTTGGGTTGGTGTCAATAGCCCCTGAAAAGGTTAGGGATTTCCAAATACTACATATGCAAAATACGATGAATTGATTTCATGATCGCGTGAAACATCACGCAATTTTTGACAAATAAAGTCTGCATATATAGTGCTTTAATTTCAATAAACATAAATTCCTAAAATGTATAGGTTTTTTTCGATTTAATTTGAAAATCCTAAATCTCCTTGAAACACACTGTAATACTTTAACAATCTGTATGAAACCATTTTTTTCAGCCATGAACGACTCTGCTCGCTCCGAATACCAAAGTCCTCACATCACCCTGCTTCAAGCCAGTTTAAGCCTCTACCAATCTGAGATCAGGTGCTTCAAAGGCATTTTAGAGCAGATGCACGCCGAAAGAGAGAAGCTGAAGCTGGACGTGGTCGAAGCTAACAACAGGGCGACCATGCTGGCTCAGGAGGTAGACGATAACCATTCGAGAATGGAGCAGAACACGTTGAACCAGGTCAAACTGTTGGAGCAGAGGCATAATGATATACTCAAGGAGGTGCGTGAATTAGTCGATCAAGATCAAGGAACTGTAGCATGCTTAGTATTTCTTGATTATACAAATGCTTTTGATACTCTGGAACCATCTATTCTTACAAAAAAGCTAATATATTTTGGTTTTTCGGTATCTGCAAGTCAATTTTGTAATGAGTTATTTCACTGAAATGAGTCACAGGGTTGTGATTGGGTCAAGCATCTCGGAGGAAATACCAGTAAAACAAGTGTACTACTTGGGTTCAATTCTGGGAGCATTATTGTTCTCTATCTAATCTCAAAATTAGCCACTTAAAATCATCCACATTTATATTTGGACCAACAGTTGAAAAAAGTCAGGCATAATCATTACTAGCATTGAGCAACTTCGACCAACCGACTCCTATAAAAGATGAGTGCAAGAGTTTAAGGCTCTGGGTTGATTCTGATTTGAGGTTTGAACAACTGTGCCGAACGTCATTCGGTGTTTTGAAGAAATTATTTCCTCATAGGAAAAGTATGAACACTGGTCTCAGGTTGAAGTTGTGCGAAAGCTTAATATGGGCTAGAATTTACTACTGTGACTGTATTTATGGCCCAGTGCTAAGATCGATTGAGAAAAGGAGAGTTCTGAGTATTCAAAATGTGTGTCTTAGATTTGCCTGTGGTGTGAGAAAATTTGAGACAGTATCACATAAATATTGTGAGGTGGGTGTACAAAAAATAGAAGAGCGATAAAAAATTCAAGTATTGACCTTTACTCATAAGGTAATCACAACACAAACCCCTCCATATCTGTCAACCAAATTTGTCAGATACTCAAATATTAATCAACTGGCTATAAAGAATATCTCTTGCTTATCCCTAGACATTCAACATCTCTATACACTATTTCACGATTATCCATCACTCTTTGACGTCTACTGAGGTGAAGAGCCGATCAGCAAATGACATTTTTGTGTCTGCAACGTTGGCTGTAATTAATCGGGTGTAAATCTAGCAAAAATTTGTTTGTAGCACTTTTTTATGCTAATGAACTTTTTTAAATAAAAGAGCTTTCAACATGGTACAAAATGAATTTGTAGCGAACAAAAAACCAAAACAAAATATGGCTCTGTCTACCTGGCATTGACGGATCCATCAGAATTATGTGTTCTTTGCCGATTCTGAAATATTACTAGATAACCATTCTACTGTGATGGATACTCGGGAAATTCTGCTATTAAGAAGCTATAGAACTTGTGGCCTACCGAGTTCACTCACTACTGTATAAAGATTTCCAAAAAGAGGAGATGGAAGCGTTTTATCTCTGATTATATCGCCCAGTAAGTAGACCATGGCCATATAGGTACTAGTTACAGGCTTTTTGTCTGTTATGTTTTCATTAGGATTAGAAAATTTACATAAATATTTGTTGGGTTAAGCTGAAAAACGCTTTTCTACCGATACTTCTCCTTTTTGTACTTGGTGGTGACTGGGGACCGGGTAAGATATTGAGCATGACTACGTTGCCAGATGAACTACCGGTAGGACTGGGGTAGAATGTGTGGACTACCTGTATGGATCTCTTTGACTGACTTTTTTCTCAGATGGTCTATCTTCTACTGAACATAATCTTTTATGAACTGATAACGGCGTTGCGTGGGAAGTACAGAATCATCCTAATTGACATTTTTTTGGATCGCTTGTCCCGAAAGAGGATTTCAACTTTGTGAGCATTTAAAGTGACTACATAGTACCTCCTGATGAAGAAAATAATAATTTTCAATAACTTGACATAAACAGAAAACTAACTGTACTTATATTATTATTTACTTATCTTCGCGCAGACACGGCTCTGAATTGGATTAAGTATCACCTAGTGGAATATGTTGAACAATGCTAAAAGTCTATGTGATTATTGACACCTTGTTTTTTTTTTTTCAGGTAACAGCCCAATACTCCAAAGACAAAGAACAACTCTCCGTCATCAACCAAGCTCTAGAAGAAAAAATCTACACCCTAGAACAAGAGGCAAATAAACTAAAAAACGACCTCCTTGTTGCCCAAAAATATTCATTAACAGTAGAAAAAGATAACCAAACGCTGACAGTGCAGATCAACGATCTAGAAAGGGACAAGAGTGTTTTGAGCGAGCAGATTGGAATTTTGGAGAATGAGAAGCAGAAGTACAGTGAGATGGGAAGGGAAGAAAGCAAGGTGTTGTTGGTGAAATTGAATTCATTGCAGACGGAAAATAGCATTTTGAAGGACAAGAATGATGAGATGGTGTGCGAGATTGAGTGTCTTTCAAATCAGGTAAATGAAGTTTAGGATCATTTTAATACTCTGCACATTCAAATTAGCATACTCTTATTTTGAATGCTTTGAATGCTTCTCATGTCACAAATGTGCTACCTTAATCAGAGGTGTTCCCAAGTGACAGAGCCTCCAAAGAATGTGAAGATAATTTTGATGTTCACTGTAAAGGGCTTGCCAATAGGTTCAGGTACATTGGAATTTAAATTTGATGCCATTATTCAACTATTTGATCTAGGATTTGTACATTGCGCATGTATCATCTAGAGACCAACATCCTTTTTACGCAACTACACAATGAGGGATAGCTATCTGATCACCATAATTGTCACTTTGGAATTATCACACTTAATTTTCACTTATAGTAGCGCTGTGTGTGTTGCCTAAACATAAACATACTTGAGCTATGGCCTGTGGCTCCGATGTGATGTTACATCTGCTTCAGAGATGGTACTAGCAGAGGCCATACATAGCTTGTATGACCTAAAGTGTAGGTTGCTGTACAGGCTGCGCCAGCATAACATACTTTTTTTAAAATGCGCATCATTCAGTCGGTTTATGCCGTAACGGAGCGGCTAGTGCTCTCGATCGAGAGGCGGGACACTATCAGGTTTTGTCCTGACACCTATGTCAAACAAAACATGCGCTACTGGGCTGACACTAATCCTCAAGAATTGCATCAGAGACCTTTGGATTCACCTAAAGTCACAATGAGGTGTGAAATTTCCTCAGCTGGAATTATCGGTCCCTAGTTCTTTGAGGAAAATGAAGTCGCACTGATATTGAATTCGGACATGTTACCGGAGTTTTTTCCTCGGCTTGATGAGTTGGACTTAGGAACATTTGGTTCCATACAGACGGTGCACCGGCACACACTTTTCAAGAGCAGCGATCGCTGTTTTGAGGGAACACTTCTCAGAGCGCCTCATCTCAATTAGGGGCGGTTTGGAGTGGCCGACCCGCTCTCCCGATTTGGTCTCTTGTGATTTTTTGCTATGGGGTTTTTTGAAATCCCGTGTTTATGTGAAAAATCCAAGGACCAACATCCAAGAAGAAACTGCCGAGATGATACCTGATATGCTTGCAAGAGTCATGATAAACGCCAGAAATCGGTTTACTCAGTGTATGGAGAATGGTGGACGTAACTTATCTGATTTGATATTCAAAACTATGTGAAACAAAACTTTAGGCATGCGCCTACATTGTAACATCAACATATCAAAATGTCCTGATTTATACAATGGGTTTTATTAAGTTTTGGAAAAGGGGAGTTATGCTACCGCATCCTGTACCATTTTTTCATAGGTGGCGTTCACAGCAAATAATCGTGGAATGTACTAATAGCTAGTACAGAAATGTAGCGATCAGATTACTATAATAGCGATTATTTTATGCACAAGAATTCGTTTTTGTTGAGGGAAATTGCAGCTGACTCGTTTTTCTGATGTCCACCTGCCTGTGAGATCATCGAATCTAATTCCACTTGACTTTTTTTGCGTGGGGTTTGGTCAAAGAGAAAGTATATTCAAACGAACCATGTGTGATTAATGACCTAAAGCAAAATACAAAGGGTACTATAAAAGTTTTGCAATACATCTTTATTTATTGACTTCGTTTTAAAGTAATTTCCACCGCATTCAATACACTTCTCCATCCGCCAAAACTAGTCCTTAATCTAGCTCTTAATTGATCCAGCTAGATCTACATTGAAGACATTAAATAAGTCGGTGTATACAGATTAAAATATAGATAAAATGAAGTACAATACAAATGACAATGACAATAGGAACATACAAAAAACAATATGATACATACACACATGGCAATAAATTATTTATTAAGATCTATCAGAAGCACTGTGGAATGTGACAAATTCACCTAGGTCATAAAAACCGCAATCCGAAAGCTTGTTCCGCAAACGTCTTTTGAAAAGCCATATGGAGTTTACGTTTTTGATCTCAGGAGGTAATAAGTTAAAAAAAGTATATTCCTGCTGTTATGGGAGATTTTTAATGAAACGTATGATATGACAGATGCCTAACTATATAATTTTTATTACGAGTGCTATAGTCATGGAGGTCAGTATGCTTAAGATAATCATTTCTGTGTTGAAAAATAGTTTTTAAAAGTTTATAAAGGTATATACATGCTACTGTAAGTATTTTATGTTTAACAAATATATCACGGCAAGAAGATCTGGACCGTATTTTAAATATAATGCGAATGATTCTTTTTTTGTAAGACAAACACAAGAGATTTCACTAGCCTGGCCCACGCAGTAATGTCAGATGAAATGCCAGAGTGTCACACGCATAGTAGACATCCATTAATGCTGAGGTGTTTAACATCCTCCCTAGCGTAAGTATTAGATACAGACTTTTCCAAGCTTCTTACATACGGAATCAATTTGCTCTGCCCATCTTAAATTGTAACCAAAGCTTACACCTAAAAAACAGTTTTTTTGGAAGTTACAACTGTCTTGCATTTAAGACTGAAATTAAAATTTGACGGAATTTTTGGTTTCATAAAATATTCAACTGAAACGGTCTGTTTTGTATTTATTATTAGTCTGTTTTTGAAGCACCATTGACTGAACTCATTAACCGAATCATTAATTTTTTCTCCAAGACGATCTTGCGATGAGTCAGCTAAAATGATATTTGTGTCGTCTGCATATAAAATTAATTTTCCGCAGGATAAGTGTGCAGGCAAATCATTTATGAAAATCGAGAAAATAAGTGGTCCAAGGACGTTGCCTTGAGGTGTGCCCCAATCTAAATTGAATTCATCAGATATTTTATCAGTGACAGTAACATAAAATTTTCTATTCTCTAAAAAGCTAACTAGTATCATTGATTCAAACATCCGCGAATGCCGACATGATAAAGTTTATCGGCCACAAATGATGAACTTACACAATCAAAGGCCTGAGGCAAGTCAAATTGGATACTCACTACGTAATTACCTAAATCAAGTTTTTCATAAACATACTGAACATACTCGATAATGCTTGTCTCAGTTGAGTAGCCTGCCCTGAAACCTTGTTGAGCATATGTGATTATAGAAAATTTAAGGTGATTTTCAATTTTCATTGCAACGACTTTTTCAGTGATTTTCGAGAAAATACTTAATAGCGCGATTGGCATATAGTTTTCAACATCACAATTTTCACCTTTTTTAAATATCATAATTAACGGTGCCAGTTTAAGAACTGTTGGAAATTTACCAGCAGCAACCGATTCATTAATGATGTCTGCTAATACTGGGGCAAAGATATCCATGTTCAGTTTTACTAAATATATTGGAATTTTATCCGGCCCTGTAGATTTGTTGTCTGATAACATATTACTTATCACAAATATAACGTCATCAGTAGTGTCATGGGTGAAAAACATTGATTGTTTGGCTGTTTCACCAGTAGTGCATGAATCCGACAGAACGGTAAAATTGTTGGCCATTTTCTTGCCAATTACAGTGGATACATATTTTCCAAAAAAGTTTGCGATATCAGTGGGGTTGGTTATAGTTACGTTATCGCAGACTAATTCTGTGATAACTGCATTTTTTGTTTTGTTTTCATAGACTCTATGACTTTAGGCAGGCACTGTTCCGTGTACCACTTAGCTGTAACTGTCTTCTGTGTGTTCAAAACGACATGGTCCAGAATCCCGCTCGATTGGAAAAATACAGCCACCATTTTTTTCCTTAGCAGCTCTGGATTTTCTGACAGCTAGGGGTGTGCCCTCATCATCAAAGACCCAAACCTTGTTGTGAGCCTTGGTCGGCACATCGTAATAATAGAGCTAAGTATTGTCACCTGTAACGATGCTGTTCACATACCGAGATTGCACCAAGTCGTAGGACGAGTCTTCTGCTCTTCCGTCAGACTATGTGGTACCCAGAGAGAACAAAGTTTCCTTACGTGTAAATGGTCATGCAAAATTGAATGAATTGCTGGTGCATGAAGGTGTAAGGTCTCCTCTATCTGTTGGTATGTCACTTTCCGGTATTCGTCAAGCGTTTTCCTCACAGCAGTAATGTTTTCCTCAAGTCATATTGCAAAACTTTTATAGTACCTTTTGAATTTCTAAAGTTATTGATGCAGTTGTGCCAATAAGCTACTGAAAATTTTTAGCGTAAGAATGGTAATCTGTTTGGAGAATATATCACAGTATATGTACCTACGGGACAGTAAATCATCCTCGCTAATATTTGTTGGCGAGTGGTTTTGTTATGCATCGCATGGCAGCAAATTCTCAGCACACCGAGTACTAGTATAGCGGAAGTTGGCGACCCTAGGGCTTCAGCCACAGGCGGTGGCAGAGGTAGCGATGCAGGATCCGACAATTTTTAAGCGCGAGTTGCTATAGTGCTGCGGTGCCTTGTGCATTGTTTAGATAATAAAAAGTCTATTCTAGTCTATGACCTTTTAATTACTAATCAAAATTCAAATCACTCCTTTATTGCTTATATTAAGTTCTAAATTACCCTGTATACGTAGAAAACTCGTACTAAGATATGTATGTAGACCAAATAAACTTTTAACCCAACTGATCTCCACCCTACTTGTAGGAAGCGATATAATCGATGAAATATAACTGTTAAATATGATGATCAGCTTCTCGAACAATGGTCGTGTTAGTTTCCATATAAGTAACACACAATGCCAGATCCGTGTGTATTTAACATTACTGATCGTTTACCTTTAGCGTGCAATAAAACATGAAAGAAGCAAAGAATCATTTGCATGAAATGCCGCAACCTACGCCATTTTAAATTGGTTTTAATCCTACACTTTCCGATTTGTCGGTAGCGATACGACGTTAAATTATATTCACGAGTGTAGAAACACCCGTGCTTAGTGTTTCATATCTAAAACCGTTGTTTGACGCATTCACCAAGAAGCTGCTCATTATTCACTTATAATTATCATGATCAAAGTCATATATCTAAAAATTGGTTATTCGTAAACAAGACATCTTTTTTTCAATGAACGATAGCCCCTCAACCTCCCGCTTAACTATTCTCCAAGATTTTGTATTCTGAGAATTCCTCAACGATGGAAAATGAATTCCCATAACTACCCAGAGGTAGTATCGCCTAAAGACGGTGGGTGACAGCTATATAGTTTAAAGCATGAATGGTCGGCGATGCCAACGCCACGATACGTATGCTTATATTTAAGCAGACACGACTTTCAGCTGGGTTGCGTTATTTCCACGCTATTTTACGGTGGACTATATTAATCAGTGGTAAAAGCAGAACTTTTCGTATTAATCAACGCGTCATGTTATGTCTCCAATGAGATTATTCTGAAGATATGTTCATCCTTCACCTAAGGGCAATATGAACATAATTAAATCGTGCACTTGCAGGGCCACAAAATCACAAAAATAAATTTTCTCCAACAATTTTCTAATTTACATATACAGAATCCTAGCTAGTAATATCATGGCATCCGTCCAACCGACGTACATCATCCTCTTTGCTTGTTTGTTTATTTTAACCAGTTAGATACAAATGTGTACATTGGCACGTCAAACATAAAATAAATAATTACAAATGATGAGTACAGTATAAAATATAAATAACAATAAATAGTACATAAGTATTTCAAAAAATACGTTAAACATCGTGAAACATTAACAAAGGAAGTATAATGGAAAAAATTACAAACACAATTAGAGATGGAAAGAGGAGAAATTAGTTGAGATTAAAAAGTGTCATTCAAAAACTCTCTACAGCTATAATATGCTTTAGTCTGAAGCAGTACAGTAATTTTCTTCTTGTATAAACAATTCGCAGAAACTGATTTAATGCTAATAGGCAATTTATTGTAAAATGCAATACAGTTGATGGGCGAAGTTTCGAATTTGGCTGTTCTGTGTAATGGTGTTTGTAATAAATTGCGATGCCTCGTGTTTAGATTATGTCGCCTAGTATAGACCTCAAATTCCTCCCAGTGCAACCTAACGTACATAAGACAGGGTAATATGTAAATACATGGTACAGTCAATACACGGTCTCTGATAAATGTCGGCTTTGCTCCTCCTTGCTCTCCTTTCTTTTTTCTTTCCTTCTTCCTCCTTGATTTTGTCTGGTAACTGAGCAATAAGACCTAACACACCTACTAATCTACAAGACTTTAACTGAAAACAGAGGGCATACGAACTGATTTGACAGGCAATGATGAATAGAAAAAGTTAGACTTCGATTTATCTGTTTTTGTCATTGTTTCTCGAAGGTGGTCAAAAATCGATCCTCTTACTTTCCACACCTACTGGGGGGAAAGTATTGTAATTGTGAAAAATTTTGAAAAAGATATTATGGGTTTAATGACGTGTACATCACGAACACCCATATCACTCATTTCCGTCGGTCCGCCTGCCTGTTGGTCTGTCTGTCTGTCTGTCTGTTGGTCTGTCTGTCTGTCTATCGGTCTGTCCGCTGTTCTTATTACCGCCTATAACTTGAGAAGTGCCGCTCGGATTTCGAAGAAATTCTTCCACAATGTTACTACTATGCCAAGGACGCAAAATCTTTGTAGTTTTTGAAAATCGGTCCAGTGGCGGCAGAGAAAAAGGTCTAGAATGAAAAGAGTAACAATAGCTTAATCTTCGGTTTTTGACGTTTTCTGAATGATCTTGTGGGATCCTAATCATTTTTTAAAAGAATTTTGTAGGTAAAAAAATCTGGGGGAGAGCGGTTGTCAGAAGGTGGGGAGAGTTTCTCTCAATTTTTCTATGCCGGTACGTTTATACGCTCCCAACATTGGTAATTCTACGCACCTATTAGCCCTGAAATCTTCTCGGGAGACGGATCGCGTACCTATCGGCCGCGGCTGCTGCTGGCGTCGTGCGCCGACCGTGATGACTGATCTGTAATGGAATCACACGTTTTTCTGCCGAGCAACAGCATAGTGTTTTCTGCGCTCTGGCCGGACTACCACGTCCACGGTGCCACGTCTGTCCGAGTTGGTATCGGGGAGAGACGACGTTTCCAGATGCACTACCGGTAAGGTAGGGAAAGTATGTCTGTAGACTAATTGTATGGACCTGTTTGACTGACTTTTTTCACAGAGGGTCTAGTTAGTGCTGAATATATTCCATTAAGGGCGTTGCGTGGAAATTGCAGAGTCAACCATTGTTATTGCCATGTTTTATATTGCAGATCAACAAAAGTTGATGAGCTTACACCAACAAATGTCCGCGCATAGAGGCCGATTGCATATCCTATGTATGAGGCAGATGGATGTATGAAAGTAATTAATGCAACCCACCAAAAAAAAGTGAAAAGACCCATATTCCCCTTTATTGTAAAATAAAATTACGGTGTCTTCTCTTCCTATACATCATTGCTAAAATGTTATTGCTTACACTGAATTTTCAAGGATATTGAAGTTTATTTTTGCTTCTTCGCTAATGTGTTGTTGAAAATGTATTTTGAACTTACTTTGGCTCTTATTTTCCTATGTCTTCTTAAAAATTGATAGTTATCACTAAAGGCAATCCATTGATGTCCTTTAGATAAATAACACTGGTGAACAAAATTAAAATAATTTTTTGTGACATGGACAAAACAAGGTGGTTATTATGTAAAACGTACCCAAAAAGCCAGAAATAGCATTCGATTTTTTCTATCACTCACGGTTTTCTTGCAATAAGGCATTTTATTTGCTGCTTATACTCGTAAAATATAAGGATATGTGTGTAAGAGTACTAATAAAAACTCGAATAAACATTAATCTCAGAATGTCTTACGGCGATATGTTGCTCCTGAAGTATCTCTTAACAATGCTCAGCAATAATCAGCAACCAAATTGACACTCCATTTGCCTTGATACCATTTTTCCATAGCCGAAATGCCTTGGTGGACCGTTGACCATGTTCATCACTTACCGCACCTAAATTTTCCGAAAAAAAATCGAGATGAGAATCCGAAAAGTGAATTTTTAGAGACATGTTACATCCCATTCCTTTATAAGCATTAATATCTTGTCCGCCGTCACATTGCCTAAAAAATTTGCAGTAACTGATTTAAAAGCATTCCAAGCTCGAAATTCAGTTTCATTTAGAGCACTGTCAAATCATCCGTCATGATTTTCCGTTTTTGTGGACCCACAAATATGCCCTCTTTAATTTTTGCCTCACTAAGTCTCGGAAATGTTTGTTTTAAATGCAGAAACCCTCTTCCATTTCGATCCATAGCGTCCAACTGCGTACGCTATAGTTACAGATGGATATTTATTACCGTTGTGTACCAATACCGATTTTAAACTAAGCTTAGAGGAATCAACGGGCGCCAATCATTTGGATCATGTTTCTGTCCTGTTTCTGCCAAACAAATTGTTGACATCGGAGCAATATATCAACTCCCTTTCTTGACGGAAACAGTGTGTGAGGTCTTGTTGCCGTTTTCGGTAAAAAGTAATGTTAACATCACCGTGGAGAAGATTCCATCCTTTTAATCTTGACCCTAAAAGTTCTGACTGGGATTTTGATAGATTTAATTCTCGAACTAAGTCATTAAGTTCGCCCCGTTCGATCAAATGTGGCGCTATTGAACATCCTGACAGGTCAAACGAAGGATCGGAAATTTTTACGCTTTTCTGTACCATCACTTTCAGAATCGGTGGATTCGACTTTTTCATCCAAATATCAAGATTCTGGTGGAACTGGGACAGAAAGTTCATCACTATGTTTAACGGCCCGCAAAGCTGATGGTAAATTAAAATACTCAACAGTATGTTTCGATTTTGGTCCAATACCTTTAATATTTGTGAGGCAAAAATAGCGATCAGTAGTATGGTCTCTCGGTTCTCTCCAAACCATTGGTACCGCAAACGGCATTTTACGATTCTCTTAACCAACCTGTTAACAACGTTACACAAGTCTTACAACGTATATGAGGGACCCATAATTTATCTTGGTCGCCATCTTTAATTCCAAAATAAAGTTCGTATGCTTTCAACACAAGTGGAGTAAAAGTACGTTTTTAGGATTTAAAAGTTAGCTCTCCGCACACATAACAATAACTGTTCGCACTATTTACACAATTTCTAGGTATTGTTGACCACAAAAACTAAAAACAACACACCGTTTTAAGAAAAATTAAGAGTACTCAGAACATCTCAATACCCTTCAACACAGAAAACGTAACTTACTCGGCTGCTATTAGTCTACTAATCAACGCAATATGCTCTCTAAGCATAGAGCTCGCATATAATAAACAGGAATAGACAGGTCTCAATATGAGATGTTACGTATTGTAATTCATAAAAGTTGATGTTACCGAATATCTGTGGGTGATAGAAAAATTCTGTTTTTAGATTTGATTTAAGGGTCTCAAACCACAAAGATACACCCAAAAATTGTCAAGTCACAAATCCTGTGTTTATCAGTGCAATCGCACATGCTCTGCTTTAGACACAAAACAGTGCACAAGTTCGTACGGCTTGGTCCTCCTCAATCGTCAGACAGCGTTATGGTTGTCCAGCAGCTGAACAGCTTTTGCAGCCTTTCTTCGTGCCCGGCCACTACTTTGTTTAGCTTGTCGATAACCAGAGGGATATTTAAATCGCCATTAGTATCCCTATTACGAACATACCAATGGACATTTACCATGTTCCTCAGTACTTTATTTTGGAACCTTGGAATAATTTCTATGTTCGAATCCGTAGAACAACCTCTTAGTTGACAGTCATAGACGTTTGACTTTTAATGTCACACATAGGGACCGTTACCATACGTTTCACGTCAAATTGCCTACGTCAGAGAATGCATGTTATTTTCTTTTACACCTGAAAAAAATCTAGCCTCCATGGTAGACGTAGGATCACATTCTAAACAATGATATTCCGTAAAAAAATACCTAATTTAATATTTTGTTTCTACCATCACCGAATATACACTAACGACAAAACCATCCACCAAAATTTCTCCAGATCATTTCATGCATTTCTCACTTCCAGGTGGCCAGTATGCGTATGAAATCCTCCAGCACTCCGACTCGAAGTCCTCACACCCTGGACCACTCCATGGAGGAAAACATTTCGATCATCTGCGAAGGAGTGGGAGTTGGTGCAAAACGTAGGAATGACTACTCGCCCAGTAAGGATGTCACAGGTAGGAGGCTTGAAAACTTGTTATTTTTATTTAGTATTATGGTATGGGATCTAGTTTTTATATTCTGATCTTGTGGAAAGGTTTTCTTTGTTGTGGAATGTTGTAAGTCAGTGTGGTGAGGACGTTTGTCCAAGATGGTGAAATTTGTGCTAAAGAGGTTTAGGGTGCTGCTCAAAGGTGAGTTTCTTGCATATCAGCAACGTAAAATTGCAACATTAATTAACGTATTATCCAGGAATATGCTAAACCATATGTTGTAACTGGACACATAATTTCCGTCGCCACGGCTATGTTGCCAAATAGAATCGCAGTAATTTCCTTAGCTGTTTTACCTTTGTTATTCCTAGCCTAGTTGTTTCTGAAGAGGGCAGTCCCAAAATTCAAGAGTATAAGGTCGTTTTCGCGCATACACATATTTTCGATTGATGACGCTTGCGTGTTTGGGGCTCAAATCTGTTAAACGTAGATGGGAAAAAGACTGATATAAAAGTAATCTATTTTTCGCGTTTTGACGTCTATTGACTTAAACAGCTGATCGGTAATTCACATGTTTGTTCATAACCTTAGATATGACGGATATGACCCCCAGCCTAACTTAGCGCCATCTGCTTTTAGCTTTCCAGATTACCCTCATTGGGAAGCTTCTTGTGGCATATGTTATCGCTGGTTGTGGCCACGGTTTCAAATTTTGTCTGAACGTCAACCAATCCGTAACTTTTTTGGGATGATATTAGAGTGGGCGGAACTGATTGTGTCTACTGAAAAACTCGGTATGTTGTGCGCAAAGAGGTGACAGCATCTACAAGTGGCTTGCCAAGCTTGGTACATTTTCAGCCCCTACGCTAAAAATGACAGAAGCTCCATACGACTCTGGCTTATACTGAAAGACAGTTGCTGTACTATTTACAGATAGATGTCGCCTACCAACGAATGGACCTATACCGTACTGATGATTGTTAATAAGCATTAAACAACCATGTATGTGGTTGGTCATGTTTACATAGGCGGAAAGCAAACAGGTTCAGTTCAGTTTAGCCTGTGTCTATACATTTTGGCATAGAACCTCATTGCTGGTAGCTTTGAGAATACCTCGTATTTCGGATGATTGATGTCATTTTAATGACGACGAGCGACACATATATTTACGTAGAAAAGTAACTGTCTTTCACTATAAGCCAGCGGCCTTCTGTAATTGTTAGATTATGGGCTTAAAATGTTCCAAGCTTTGGCAAACAATTTGTACCTGTAGGTGAAATAATTTTCCTCATCTGAACTGCGAATTGGTTCGATTTCCGGTTTCACACACAGGAAAACAAAAATTACGATTAATTCTTTGACTATCATCATTTGTAACGTAGAATCAAACGAATCTAAAGTGATGTTCTTGGGCGAAACAAAAATATTAGAGTTAGGTCTAAGAAATTCCGTTTACCCTTTATCCTGATAGTTCCCGAAAAAGGTCATTTTCGCGAAAGCTCTGTGTCGTCTCCATCTTATAAGTTTTGGTTTTGGTTTCTTATTTATTTGACTTGCATTTTTCACGCTAATTAACAGAAAACAAACAATTACTCAATCTTAAGCGAAAGTTTTATACTGAATAAATGATAATAATTTCACTTTTAGTTGCACTTTTTTCCAATTTAAGTCGTAATCGATTAATATTCGTTTGCATGTTTTCAGTCTTTACCGTTGTTATTGATGGTATAACCGCTTTCTAAAAACATTTTCGCAAACCGGAATAAAGTACTTTGAAAACATCGAACATAAACATAATGATGGTTTCACTGACTGACAATGTCCATCTGGTAATATTTCTAGCGTAATAAATAATTTCTAGGTCAAGTATAATAAAAAGCGTGACGGTACCAAGAGAATGCAACAACTCTTTCATAGAGGGTGGTTTGCACCTATTGGGGTTATAGATTGTTTATATTATACGTAAATGAGGTATGTTTTTGGAGATTGAATTACACCACGAAAAACCATATCACTAATTTCCCTCGTTATGGTCTGTCTGTTTGATAATCCTTGGCCCTGCAATAACTTTGAAAGTACCGCTTAGATTTTGATGAAATTTTCACACCACGTGTCAAAGACGAAAAAGCTAGTAGCCTTTGAATAAATCGATCTAGTGGCCGTAGGCAGTTGAACTACGGGCAAAAAACGAAAACAGAAATCGGTCGAATTCTATTTTTTCAAATTTCAGCAACTCAGGATCAGAAAATTTTGTGTAGGGGTTAAAATTGAGGGTTGTGGAGGGTATATATCAGTTTTTTGGTATAACTATATAGAAACGCTTCCAATTCCGGTAGTTATACGCATCTATAGTATTACGAGCCCCTTCCCACTTCAGTTGGCCCAATACCAAAATATGCCTTTATAAACTAAACATGACGAAACTATTTACTTCTAAAACAATTTATTTTCTCAAAAACATTTTAGATACACTCTAGTCGTAAAAAATACATATTTGAAATCACTTAGACCTATAACTAATAGAACATCTGAACAAATAAACAATGTGCCAATAAATGCGTGAAGTTAACAAAGCAACAATGGAAAGATTACCATTGGGTAACATCACCTTTATTTTTTATTACGGCTGAAATTCTTTGGGGCATAGTGTTAACCGAGTTTTGGCAAAAAATTGGTGTAAAACAATCCCATATGTCTTGAAGCTTTTGTCTCAGTTCGGTGATTGTACGAGTAGGATGTTGTCGTAGAACCTTTTTCATCTCGTGCCACAAAGTTTCAATAGGTGACATATCTGGACTGCTAGAAACCCATTTCAAAAGTGGTACATTATTTTCTCCCATCTATTTTATAGCCTTTTTTGAGGTATGGCACGCTGCACCATCTTGCTGAAACACAATATCTTGGCCGGATGTCAAACATTCTTTCATCACTGGTAAAAGCGATTCTTCTAAAATTGCCAAATATTTGTTTGTATCCACATTTCGATCAATAAGTTTTCCTACTCCTTTTGATGACATACTGCCCCAGACCATAAAGGATGCTGGAAATCTCACTTTTCTCTTCAGACAGTCAACATGGAATGCTTCATTTTTTTTGCGAATAACTCTACTGCGACTGTCACCAACACAAACTTCGAATCGGGCCTCATCACTCCATCACTTTTTTTATAAGAAAACTTGCCTTGCAAGTGCTAAATCCCAGTTTGTGGGCCTCTCTATGAGTTGTGGACCTCGAAATTCTTCCAACAGCGTCACTCCACAGGGCACTTAATTGGCACGCCTGTTTTTCACGATTATTCTTCTTAATGCTCTTCGGTCGGGATTTGTGATATTACTTTTTTTCACATATCGTGGCTTAATATTAACTGAACCAGTTACGTTATATCTTCTAACAATATTTCTCACACTGTACCGAGATAAGTCTAACAAAGTTGCAATTTCTGGGTTTGATTTCCCAGAATAAAAAAATTTAATTATCAGTAACCGAATTTTCTCACTAATAACCTTTCCTCTACCCATTTTGAAAACCTTAACTACCCAAAACTATTTTAAACGTATTCTGACAGCTCTGATTAATAAAAACAATTGCCATGGCTTTTATTTTTCACAGCCACCTATGCGTTATAGTCTTATTTTGCATTGAAATGAAAATAGGTTGATATGCTGTAATTGCAACATGTGTTATTTTTATGCTGCAAATTGGGAAGTGATAAAGTTGGTCTTTTCTACTATATATTATCAAAATATTCATTGTTAATACTTTAAACCTATAACACCCTGCTAAATTTTTATTATTTGTGTTTGATAAGAAAAAAACTAAGATTTCAATAGTTGGGCCAACTGAAGTAGGAAGGGGCTCGTACATTTGTTCTTAAAACTTGAAGAAAAATATGTTTGGCGTTCGGGTCGTACGCAACGCATCGACAGCAGGGAGAGATGTACCTGTGAGGGGGTGTGGGCTCTGATCGCTGGCACATCATTGTTTTTTTTTTTTTTTAACGAGGGGGAATGCATTTACGCACCATACCATAGCACGAGCTACGACGTGTGTGGGGCTCCAGGGTCTTGAAGAGATCACCTAATACCCACTAAACCCTAAACCTCCGCGTGGCCCGACTCATCAGCGTCTCGGTAGGCCATGTGTTGTGCGTGACCTGCGGTCTGCTACAACGTCTCCTCATGTGTTTCAGTCTCTGGGAACGCCGGGTTGGTTCCCTTTACCTCGCACATTCTATCGATGTCGTTAAGCGATCATCGATAGAGGGTCTGCTAGTTTCTCTTGAAACTCTTGTTTTCGAAAAATCAAGAGTTTCAAGTCCTCTTACCAGTATGTTGTTCCTGGTCCTGGTCCTGAAGGGTCCTGGTCCTGGTGGGTCCTGGTCGTGGCGGGTCCTGGTCCTGGTTGGTCCTGGTCGTGGCGGGTCCTGGTCCTGGTTGGTCCTGGTCCCGGTGGGTCCTGGTCCCGGTGGTTCCTGGTCCTCTGCATCCACGCCGTGGGGGGGGGGGGGGGGGGGAGCAGCCGCAAATTCTCCTAGTCTCCTAGTCAAGGTTCCAGTTAGCGGGTGCCAACTGGGACCTTGGTCTGGGGTACCTGGTTCTGCGGTTGCGAGGCCTCTCGTCCGGATCGTAGTCCATGAGGAATCGTAGCTGCTCGTTCGGGTGGTCCTGAGCTTTCTCGAAGGTCTTCTCCGCTTTTTTCCTCATGTACTCGTGGATGGTATCCCAATGCAGGTCTCTACGCAAGGTTGAGTTCCTTACGTAGGAAGGTGCATTGGTGGCGATCCGGAGTAGCTTCATCTCTAGAGCAGCAAGTCGCTTGCGGTAGCTGGGGGCAGCGTACCCCCAGACCGCGGAGGCGTAAGCGAGCTGAGGTCTGGCGATGGCCTTGATCAGCCGTAGCTTGGTCGCTAGCGGCATCTGGCTGTGTCTACCCAGTAATGGATAGAGTTGAGCCATGGCTGCTCTGGTTTTTGCGATGACAGCTTCTATGTGCGCTTTCCAGGTGAGGGACTTGTCAAAAACGAT